GAGCATATGGATCAACTGGGAATGGTTGTTTAGTGAATTCTTCAGTCTTTTTAATGAAGACTTGTGCAAGTTCTTTCATATCATTAGCATCTAATTCAGTATCTAATTTAACTCCCTTTTCAACTTTTTTGTTTTCAAGAGTCTTATCATAAACTTCATCATCAACATTAAGAGCAATCTTTCCGAAGAGGGAAACAAATCTTCTGTATGAATCATATGCAAATCTTTCATTGTTGGTTAATTTAGCAAGAGCAACAACAGTTTTATCATTAAGTCCAAGATTAAGAATAGTATCCATCATACCTGGCATAGACATAGCAGCTCCTGATCTGACTGAAACAAGAAGTGGATTTTCTTCTCCTCCAAAGACTTTTCCTGATTTCTTTTCAACTAATTGCATATTCTTTTTAACTTCTTCCATTAATCCTTCTGGCATTTTGTTTCCATTAGCAATGAATTGTTTACACATTTCAGTTGTAATAACAAATCCTTGTGGAACTGGAAGTCCAATTTTTGTCATTGTGCAAAGTCCAGCTCCCTTTCCTCCAAGGAGTTTCTTGTTGGTTCCATCACCATCTTCGAAAGCATATACTCTTTGCATTATTATCTGAATGAACTCTAAATTCTTACAAATTCCTTAAATAGTTCATAGGGTTTCTCAGGGTTTATTTCTTTCTTGCATACTTTTCTTTCCACGTCACCTTATCGTATTATAAATTGATTTCATTTGTAAATCCTATGTAAATCTTTTTGAAATTATGGAAAAATTCATGGGAGTAACAGATTAAATAGTTCATCATGTTGGTTATGAATTTATTTTTCTTTTTTGTTGTTGCTTAAAAACCATTTTCTTAAAACATTTTTAAATAATAAATCTTCTTATTGTTCATAACAAACACTTTGATCAATTAGTATTCATATATTTCATTTACTTTATCACAGTCTTTCTCTTCTAAAATACCACTATATTGAATTTTTACTCTTTCTTCTACTACCTCATTTGTTATATTATTTGTTTTACATAAACCTTTTTCTAATTGTTTTTGTTTCTCACGTTCTTCTTGTATATGTTGAATTTTTTCATCATCCATAGCTTTTTGAGTCACTTCCTTAAATTTATCTAAATCATTTTGCTCTTGTTCACCAAGAATCATTGTTTCAATACCTTCATGAGACAATTCTTTTTCTGGAAATTCTGTTCCTACTGTTAGTCTATTTGCTTCTTCTTTCTTATTTATAAACCTGGAAGTGACTCTGCTTGAACTTAATCCTGGTTGTTTTGGTGAAATAGGAATATAAGGAAGGACAGTTATTTGTATTGGTGTTTGATTACTACCTTCTGTTTGTTGAAGTGTCTCTTTATTCTTAAAACCAATTATTTCATTAGGATGATTTACTGATTGAATTTCTTCTTTTGTACTTTTTTGTGACTCAGTGCTTAATTGAATAGTACTTCTAGAGTCACAAGTAAATCCAGTCCTTTTTGAAATAAAAGAACCAGGTCTTTTTGATTGATTTGTACAAGTTATTAATGGTGATAATTGCTTATTATTTACACTTTGGTCTTCTTGTTCAACACCTGATATTCTTTCTTTAAGTTGTTGTTCATTAGTTACACGGATTGACCCTAAAGTGTTCCGTTGTCCAAAAACAACTTTACTAACTCTTGGAGCAAAGAGTTGTGTTCTTTGAGTAGTTAAAGTACTTTGTCTTGAGAATTGATGTTCTGCTATATCTATTTTTTGTTTTGTGTCTTGACTTGGTTCAGAGTTTATTGGTGTAGTTGTTGACATTTCATTTATAGATGTATTATCATTAGACTTATTAGGCTCTGTTATTTCTTGAACTTGAGTATTATCAAATAAATTTTTCATAGAAATAGGAGTAACTTTATCATCAGATATTTTTTTATTTTTTCGGATTTGGGTATGTACAAGTGAACCATTTTCATTAACTTCTATTTGGTTAAAAAGTTTATTAGACAATCTATTTTGAGGTTTTTTTGTTCTTTGTTGAATCATAAAATCTGCCATTGAATTAGTAGTTTCTGGTGTTTTATCAACAGGAATAATATTAATAGTATTATTAATTTCTTGTTTCTCTGGTATTTTCATTGCTAAAGTATTTGAGTTAGGTGCTTGAATTGGAGTTTCCGTTGATGGAGACTGAGTTAGAGTAGAACAATTTATTTGTTGAGGTTTTCTTTCTCCTAAGAAGTTTGCTCGTTTTGTTACTACAGGATCAATGTCTTGAGGAAACAAACTAGTGAATGACAAAATACAAAATCGAATAAAATCAATACACAACGAATATTCATTCTTTGAATCACCATTTAATGGAAGTTGGTCGAATTCACTTAAAGTCATGAGATTTGTTGATAAACAAACAGAGAGATTTTTTGCATTCATTGCATTAATTTCTGAATGACAAACAATTTTATAACACAATTTCATTGTTTCTTTAAATACTGTCATATGTTCAGGAGGAAGACATTGAATTAATTCTTTAATTTCATTAACTATTAGCTTTGAGTCTGTTTGAGTATCAATAATTTCAATCCATCTTTGAAATATCTTCTTTGTAGTTGTTCTATCAAAAATGTGAATAGGTAAATTTCTGAGAAATTTCTTAAACACACTTGCAACAACATCACATGGTATTTCATTAAAATTTGTTACACTCATTCTCATACATAATTCTTCTATTTGTCTTATTGATGCATTAGAACTCTCACGAAATATTCCTTTACAAAAACATCCTTTATTATACATACATTCAAAAATAATTACAAGTGCTTTTGGAAGTTGGTCCATAGTTCTATTTTCTGATATTAATATCTCTTTAATTGTTCTTCCAGTATAAGGAATAAAATTCCCAATAGCTTTAGATGAATCAATAGATTCTTGAACCAATTTTTCTAAATCAGAAATAAAAGGATTGTCACTGAAAAATGTATTTCCAAGACTAAAGAATATTTCAAATGTCTTAAAGAAATCAAGAAAGAAATTAGGTGTCATAACAGATAAGTGTTGATTAAGTGAATGAAGTCGTGAAAATAACTGTTCTTCTTGAATTCCATCTTTAGACATTAATATTTGAAGGTCAGTTATATTACTAAAAAGTTCTGTTGTAACCAAGGATGTTTGTTTAAAATGATCAGAAAATAATTCAAAGTCATTAGCAATATATCTCAGAGCACTAATAAATTGGGTTAACATTTTTGTGTCTATACAAATCATTATTTTATGGAGTTAATAATCAATAAATACTAATAAAAATACAAACTTAACCATCCATTATTATTTTTATATAACAACTTCTCTAACTCTTGTGTACGATGATTAACTTCTTCATTTATTCTTTTAAATAGTGTTGAAATCGTATTAGAAAATGATTGTTCTGAAGTCCAAAAAGACTCAACCTCATCAAGTTCTTTTCTTTTTTCTTCTATGTTTTTAGTAAGTGCCACTTCGTTCCAAGTCATTAATCAAAATGTATGAATAACTCATTTTTAAGTTCTTTTTTTTATTAAAAAGAAGTAAATAAAATAAGGTTATTGGTAAATTACCCTTCTGATTTATTAACAAAACAATTTAAAAATGCCTTGAAAGTAATTAAATTAAAGAGGGATGTATTGTGCTTGGTGGTGGTTTCGAGTTAAAAAATATGCTATTCCCAATAAAAATGTACATCCAATTAAAATTACAATGACAATAGAAAGAAAATGGTTTTGATTTGATTGATTGATTTGATGAGAAATGATATTTTCTTCATTATTTATTTTATTCCGACTTATTTTTGGTTTATTTAAACGTGAACGTACTGGTGCTCCAATATGAATTTCATCATCCCTTTTCTTTCCTATTTCTTTTTCTTTAAAGACTAGTCTAGCTCTACCAAAGGTTTCTTTCTTATATTCAGATAATTGTACAATGACTGAATGTCCTTCTTTAATTGAAGGAGTATAAGTATATATTTTTCCTCCTGGACAATTTCTTTGTTTTAATTCGAGACACTTTCCATCACAAGAATCAACCAGAGTCAAGTATGTGTCTACTTGAGATCCACATGTCATCATAGTTATTTCATGATTCGGATGTACAGTAACTCCAAAAAATGCTGTACTTAATTCATCTCGAGTAGATAAACATGGATTAATAAATAAGGGGTATTGAGCAAATGGAATTGAGAATATAGTATATGGAATATAGGGAATATGAACAGCTCCATTACAAGCTTCTTTTGCCGATTTTTTTGTTGTCCTTTGGAAGTGAATATCATAACGGTCTCCATCTGTTTCAACAAATAAAAAGACGGGAGAGTATGTCTTTGATGGACTTAAAATAATAATAGAACCTACTCCATCTCTGCATGACCTTAAATATCCTTCTTCTATTTTATCCTCATTACAAGATGAAAAGAGATGAAATGTAGTTGGTTTTGTAGTACGTTTACTACAAGTATCAATTATATATCGTTCTCCTGGATGTACAGAAGCTATTCGATGCCACTGACCTTTCTTTTGAACATTATTAATTATATCAGTTGTTTTAACAACTACGTTTTGTGTTAACGGGAAAATAACTTCATCAGCTTTTTGACAATTAGAGGTAGTGTTTATTAATGGCTTAAACTGTAAAAATAAATGACTTTGAACTTCTATATTATTAAGAAATTCATATGTAGCAAGAAAAACATGACCATTTGGTGGTACATTAAATGTTATATTTGAAGTTCTTAATGAGGTAGTTAATTGTGCGATACATCCCATTGAAGATGTTGATGTTGGACATTCACTAGATACCCTTAAATGCATTTTATGCAAAACATAAACATATTTGGCATGGTTAGTTACTATATTTGAAGTACCAGTCACTTGTATTTGAAGGGGTACATTTCTTTTATTTTCTATTCTGTACCATGTTGTTACTCTGTTCTCTCGATCTCCACACCCAGGATATGACATTATTAACTCTTGTGTAAGTGGTTGTTGGATAAAACTAAATCTATTGTCATCATTATAAAATTCCAAAGGTATTGCCTGATTACATGTGTTTGCAAGTGAAAGATGAACTAAGACTATCCAGAAGAGCATAGAACAATATAAGATCAAAAAAAAAAAAAAGAAAAAACTATATTTTTCAAATAACATAATTTATATAACATAAAAATAATTGAACTTTTGTTATTAATGAGAAAAAATTTGAAATGAAGTAGAACTTGAAATTTGTGAGGTTTTTCTCTTTTTGATGAAGAGATAAAACTTTGTTATTGGTAAAAGAAGATATTGAGGTTTGAAATAAAAAGAAAAAGGAAGAACTAAGAAAGTCAATTTATTATGGCGTTTGTTAATTGTATTTATATTCTTTTTAGAATAGAAATTTATTTTGTTTAGTCAACAACCAAAAGATACAAGTATGTTTGATCAAAAAGATTCTCCAAACCGATTAGTTTGTGATGATATTCCTGCAGATAAAGTTGGAGATAGTATTTGTACAGTTTATATTTCCATCAACAAATCTACTGAACTTGAGTTATTCAGAGGAGAAACAATTCTTCTTAAAGGAAAAAGAAGAAAAGAAACTGTTTGTTTAGTTGAAGTGTTAGAAGATTATCCTGATAATCATATTCAAACGTCTCGTGTTACTCGTAATAATTTGCACGTTAAATTAGGTGATGTTATAACTATTCATAAACTTGAAGACGTTCCAAATGCACAAGCCATTCATGTACTTCCTTATATGGATACTATTGAAGGATTAACAGGAGATTTATTTGATCCATTCCTTAGACCTTATTTTGCTATTGGATATATACCAGTTACTCAAGGAGATGTTATTCAATGTCATGGAGGAATGAGAACTGTTGAATTTAAAGTTGTAGAATTAACTCCAGGTCCATATTGTTTAGTTACTTCAGAAACTGAAATTCATTGTGAAGGAGAACCACTTGAAAGAGAAGAAGAAGGAGGACCTAATGATATTGGGTATGATGATATTGGAGGTTGTAGACAACAATTAAACAAGATCAGAGAGATGGTTGAATTACCATTAAGACATCCACAATTATTTAAAAATATTGGTATTAAACCACCACGTGGTATTTTATTATATGGACCACCAGGATGTGGTAAGACAATGATTGCACGAGCTATTGCCAATGAAACTGGAGCCTTTTTCTTCCTTATTAATGGACCAGAAATTATGAGTAAAATGGCAGGAGAGTCTGAAAGTAATTTACGAAGGGCTTTTGAAGAAGCAGAGAAGAATTCCCCTGCTATTATTTTTATTGATGAGATTGATTCTATTGCACCAAAAAGAGATAAGTCTGGAGGAGAAGTTGAAAGACGTGTTGTATCACAATTATTAACTCTTATGGATGGATTAAAGGCTCGTAGTCAAGTTATTGTTATTGCTGCTACTAATAGACCAAATACAATTGATGTTGCATTAAGAAGATTTGGTAGATTTGATAGAGAAATTGATCTTGGTATTCCAGATACTGAAGGAAGAAAAGAAATTCTTCAAATTCATACTAAGAAAATGAAAATTGCAGATGATGTTGATTTAGATGTTCTTGCTAATGAAACACATGGTATGGTTGGTGCAGATATTGCACAATTATGTACTGAAGCAGCTATGTTATGTATTAGAGAAAAAATTGATCAAATTGATTGGGATGATGATACTATAGATGCTTCATTAATTGAATCACTTGTAGTCACAATGGAACATTTCCGTACTGCTCAACAAAAGGTTAACCCAGCATCTATTAGAGATGTTGTTGTTGAAGTACCAAATGTAAAATGGGAAGACATTGGAGGACTTGAACAAACAAAGAACGAATTGAAAGAGATTGTTCAATGGCCTGTCCTTCATCCAGAGTTATTTAAACGATATGGTCAACCACCTTCAAGAGGGGTTTTGTTTTATGGACCACCAGGATGTGGTAAGACAATGATGGCAAAGGCTGTTGCTAATGAGTGTCAAGCAAATTTCATTTCAGTAAAAGGTCCTGAACTATTAACTATGTGGTTTGGTGAGTCTGAAGCAAATGTAAGAAATATTTTTGATAAAGCTAGAGGAGCAGCACCATGTGTATTATTCTTTGATGAATTGGATTCTATTGCACAATCTAGAGGATCAAATAACGGTGATTCTGGTGTAAGTGACCGTGTAATTAATCAATTATTAACTGAAATGGATGGAATGAGTTCTGCCAAAACAGTGTTTATTATTGGAGCAACAAACAGACCAGACATTATTGATCCTGCTTTAACGAGACCTGGAAGACTTGATCAATTAATCTATATCCCATTACCAGATCTTGAGGCACGTGTAGGAGTCTTACAAGCTAATTTGAGAAAATCACCTGTTGCACCAGATGTAAACCTTCGTGATATTGCTAATGCAACTGAAGGATTTTCTGGAGCAGATCTTACTGCTATTTGTCAAAGGGCTGTTAAACTTGCAATTAGAGAGTGTATTAAAAAAGAAATTGAAATTCAAGAAAGTGGACTTGATATAGTAGAAGATCCTGTTCCATTTATTACTAGAAAACACTTCGAAGAATCTATGATAACTGCTCGTCGATCTGTTTCTGATCAAGATGTTAGAAGATATGAGTCATTTGTTAATACACTGAAACAGTCAAGGGGATTAGTCAATTCAATTCCACAAGAACAGCCTAACCAAAGAAATAGTTCAACTTCTCAACAACCTAATACAGCTCAAAATTTAGTGAGTGACTTACTAAGAGATGACCATAATCAAAATAATGGAAATGGTGAAGAAGATTACTAAAAAAAATAATTTTAATTCTTTTTTAAATAATATTCTTTATAATATTAAAGGTGTTAAAAAAGAAATTAGATTAACAGTTTACAATTCTTGTGCTGTTGTTGAAGAGTTTGAGAGACATTGTTGATGAACAAATTGACCAAGATTGTCAATTGCACCATCTTTTAATAATAACTCACCATTTTGACTTTGCACAACCACCAATGGTTTATTACAAATAGAACATAATAATGGTTGACTAGTATAAGAATTAGTTTCGCAAGATGGTTGTTGATAATTATCTTCTTGTTGAATGAAGGATTGCTCATTCCAACTTTCTTCTGGTTTAGATGATTGTAAACCTTCACATGCACTTAAAACTTGATGGTATTGTACATGACGTTCCATATCAACAAACCTTCCACCACAAATTGGACAAATCTCTCCAAGAACGTGTTGGGGTTGATGTATTGTAGGTGTTGTTGTTTGATGAATGGTAGAAACAGGTTCTGTGATTACTGAATTTGTTTGTGAATACATTGGAGACATTTGAATTGGAACATCAACAGGAATAGAAGTTGGTGCTGGTGACATTATTTGAACTGGAACTGATGTAGATACAGAAGGGCTTGTTGTTGGGTGAAGTGTTTCTTTATAAGCAGGATCAGTAGAAGGAGGTAATGAAGAATTATCGCACATATCAATTGAAACATTTATTGGTGAACTAGGTTTTGATTGTTTTCTTGGTGTTCTTCTTGGAGTTGTTAAAGGAGAATTGTAATTGTATTGTTTTGGTTGTTTGTATCTTCTAACTGGAGTAAACGAAGCGTTTTGTAAAGGCTCTACTTGTGTATTAACACTAATAGGAATAATTCCTTGTGAGTCATACGACACAGGAATAATAGTGGGTTGTGATTGTTGAGGTTGTGTAGATCTGACTTGAAAAGCTGGGCTATTTCTGTAACCTTGAGAAATCATTGTTAAAGAAGTTCTAATTTGGTTAAGAGTTTGAGCAGGAAACACATTTGTCCAAGTAAGGTATAACTGCCATAAAGCCAGTCTTATTGTTTCGTTTGCTGAGTTATATGTTTCAATGAAAATGCTAGTGATATGTGGAATAAAAAGATTAACATATATTCTATTAATGTCAATTTTTACTATCATATCAATAACATACAATAAACATAGTCTTTTTTCTGAATTTGTTGAATTCATATACTCTCTATATATTATTTCAACATATAAATCTGCATGAATAACATTTCCTACAGCCATCTGTGCTAACGATGTAATAATTCCTTGATCATTTTTTATTGACTCAATCACTTTTTTGAATTGGCACAATGTTAGTTCATCGTTTGGAATAGGTATAGAGTTAACCGAATTCATTTTATTTAATATCAGTTTTTTTCTTCTTTTTTTTGTTTTATCTATTTTGTTTTTTTTTTTTTAATATGAAATATAATTTTTTATTACAAGAATATTTCTTAAACATCAACTCCGATGACGCCATGCGAAAGTGTAAAAAAAGATCAACAATGAGAGGATTGTAACTTATCAGTAACAGGATACAATCATCTTGTTGTTTTTGTTGAAAGGACACAAGAATTTATATCAAATGTAATGTTGTAGAAAATCGTCAATTGTTGAAAAGAATGCAAACAAGATTGTTACATACTTTCAAAATGGACAGCAAGCCATTCACCCCAAGTCCTAAGAAGAATTCTTTTAGACAAGGAATAGACAAAAAAGTGATAAACGTCAAACTAATTTACTCTAAGAATTATTTGTTACTCTTACGTGAAGTTTGTTTATTAGACACATATCTTTTAACAAATCACTTACTTAGCTCTTAGGGAAATAGAGGACTTCCAGACAACTTTGATACAGACAAAGTTGAAGAATTGTTTTCAATTCAAAACGAACTTCAGCAACAAGCGGCTATACAACCAGAACCTTTTGTTGAACAAGACTGTGGATGTCTTGATGATACTAAAAGAAAACAAGCTAGACAAAAACAAATTACATTTGGTAAAGGAACTGTTGAATATCAAAACTACAACGCTATAATTCCAAAGAACCAAAGGAGAACTACTGACCCAAAAACACCTGACATTGAATGTAATGTTTCAAAAAGAAAATGGGACCAAATTGTTAGAAGATGGAGAAGGGCTCTTCATGCTTTTGATAACGTTCATCATGAAAATCAAGTTGAATTGGCACGAGCCCTAGCTCTTCGGTTAGAAAATGAACATGACCCTAAAAGAAAAGCTTTTATTCAACAAGCCCCTTGTTTCTCATCATCTCTCTTAAAAGATGAACAATAAATAAATTCTTAATTTAGATAAAAAGAGATTAGTTACTTTGTTAATGAATAAATGGAATTCCAACAATGGTTCTTTGTTTGTATTGAAGATAGTCATCTCCAAATAATTTTATTAGATATTTTTCTTCATAAGGAATTCTCTTATAAAAGAAGTACCAAGCAGCAATAGAATAAAGAATTGTTGATAATGGGTTTAACATAACTATCTGAGTTGTGACACTCCACCAAAACCACCCAAAATATGATGGATGTCTCAAATAATGATATATTCCATTCGTTACTAATACATGGTCTTGACGATGTGACGTTTCGATGTAGTGATTAAAATTACTACCAGCAACATACATTGCAATAGTTCTGAATGATTGGAAAAATAATGCAACAAACGTAAATCCAATACTAATATATATATGATTTTTAATACTTGGGAAATACCATTTTTCAACGTAATACTCTATAATTGATAATGCAAATGCACACATAAAAGGAGGTGAATGAAAAAGCATAAAATCATGTAAGGAAGATTGATAAGGGCGGGGATATACTGATGAAGTAAATTCAAAGAAATGATATAAAAACAATAAACACATAAACAAATGTATAGACGTATCACCAAAAAATATTAATACAAAATTAAAGCCAAATGTTAGTCCAACAAACACTCCAGTAAGAACCAATAAGTCAATTCTTTGTGCTTAAAATTTTAAATATTTTTTTAAGAAAAATAAAATAAATTAACACACAAACTCCAATTTTTCATGAATTAAAACTTTTAAGTTTAAATGATATTATTATTTTTTTTAAAAAAACACGATTTATTGGATTTTAGTTATTTTCGCTTCAAATAATTTAAAAATAAACATTTTTTTCCTTAAATTAAATTTATTTTTAGAAAATAACTCAACACCATGAGCCTAAAGTATGATGCTTTGACAAAATCCTTGAAACGAAAGTCAATACACAGAACATTTACAATTATTTGGAAAGTCGCTCATATTCTTCTTGTGTAATTATACTTTTGTTTTTTAACAAAGCAAATAATTCGTCTTCAAGAACACCAAAGTTAGCATCGAAATACTGATATACTCTTTTGCCTTGATTACAAAATATATCTGTAAAGAAACACACTAAAGCAGAAATAAACCTAAACACCATAGAAATGATAACGATTATTATAAAGATATAAACTATAGTTAAATAGAAAGGAACTAAAGGAAACACTGTTCTATAGAAATACTGTAAAGATAAAGGGTTTACTGTTAGAGTAGTTAATGCATTTAATTGTTGGTTAATACATATTTGAACACTCTGCTCTTCATTCATATCAAGAAATACTTTCAAGGCATTCTCCTCATTAGAAATTAAATAATTTCCATTTAATTCTGGTTTAAATGATACAGTTGGGTTTTGAATTGAGGGATATGTTAAAGTAGTTAATCCTTTTGAAGCAGTAATCGTTTCAGAGACTAGGCACTTCTTAGAGAAGGTAAATACAATAAAGTAGAAAAGTAGTATCATAAGGAAAGAAGTACGAACTGGAATTAAATAAAACTTAAAATTACAATAAATATGGCACATATTGTTGACCAATTTCAAAAAATCCCAACTGGATCAGAAGCAGTTGATAGAAAAAACACATGGAGGACTCGAGTTGACAATAATCTAGTTATTAGTAATAGAAGAGGAAAAAAGTCTAATGATGATGAACCAACTGGAGAAGCTGAGTCATTGTTTGGAAAAATTACTAAAGAGATGATGGGGGATCATGCACAAAGGACTGACCCAAAAGAGATATTAAAGAATTTAAAAGAATATAGAAAAGACATTGATGAAGAACTAAAGAAACCATACATCCCTAAAAGAAATAAAAAGGTTTATGACTTAGATGAAATTGGAGGGTATGTCCCTACTACTAAAACTACTAAAGAAGAACACGCTAAGTTGTTATCTGTTGTTCAACACATATTCAGTGATAAATCATTCCAATTTATTCGTTCAGCAACATTAGATGTATTAGATATACTTAAGAGTGATATTACAGCAAATGAAAAGTATCAGAAATTGAAAGAAGAAATTAGTCAAGGAATTAAAGAAGATGAGTTTACAGAAATGCTTCAAATTGCAGATAATATCACTGACTACATCAAAACAGATAACCCTGAAGAAGTAGAAGATGAAAACAATAATGAAGGAGAAGATGAGGTTATTCCAATTTTAAATGATTCAGAAGAAGAAGGATTAGGGTATAGTGATGATGAAATTAAAGAAGAACAAGAACAGGATGAGGAAATAAATTTTCAGACAAACAACTCCATGTCAATGGAAGAAGAAACAAAAAATAATCAATTTGATAATATAGATGCATTTTGGTTACAAAGGATTATTAAAGGGGTTGTTGAAGATGATAATACTGCACAAGAGTATGCAATGAAAGTTGAACAAGTTCTTGGAAATACTTCACTTGATGATGGAAGTGTTGAACATATAATTATGTCATTATTAGGTCAACAAAATTTTGGTATTGTTGATATGTTAGCAAAAAATAGAGAAGAAATAATTGGAAGAATTGCCATTGCTAGAGCGCCTAATGAGGAAATTAAGGAAGCTATTAGAGAGAAACTCCCTTCACAAATAAAACTCTCAATGAAACAAAAACAAGGAATACAAAAAATTGAAGAAGAGAAAAAAACACAACATACAATGAAGAATTTAGATTTAAATGCATTAATTTTTGAAGGTGGAAATCATTTTATTTCTAATCAACAAGCAATATTCCCAGAAAATACTGTAAGAATTGATTTACCTGATTATACTCAAGTTGATATTCCATTTGTCAGTCAACAACTTCCACCTACTAATTTAATACCAATTTCTAGTTTACCTGAGTGGGCTCAAAAATCATTAATGCCATTAAAATATTTAAATAGAATGCAATCAACAATTTATCCTACAGTTTTTGAAACTGATGATAATGTTTTAGTTTGTGCACCAACAGGTGCTGGTAAAACAACAGTCGCACTTTTAACTATTCTTCATGAAGTTAAAAAAGCAAAACAAACTCATGAACAATTTAAAATCATTTATATTGCTCCAATGAAATCATTAGTACAAGAAATAGTTGGTACTTTACAAGGGAAGTTAGAGAACCTTGGTATGAAGGTAGCTGAAATGTCAGGAGATTCATCACTAACAAAGAAAGAACTGGAAGAAACTGATGTTATAGTAGCAACTCCAGAGAAGATTGATGTTATTACAAGAAAAATTGGAGGACTTGGAAGTGGATGCGGACATGGAATATTTGAATATTTAAAAGTAATGATTATTGATGAAGTTCATCTATTACATGATACAAGAGGACCAGTATTGGAAGCATTAGTAGCAAGAATAAAATTATTTATGGGGTCTAATTCAAAATATATTAGACTTGTTGGATTAAGTGCAACATTACCTAATTGTGGAGATGTAGGGATATTTCTTAATTGTAAGAAGGAAAATGTTTTTGTATTTGGAAGTGAATATAGACCAGTTCCATTACAACAAACATTTTTTGGGGTTGCAGATAAAAAACCATTAAAACAAGTTCAGATAATGAATAGACTAACATTTCAAAAGGTTAAAGAATCAGCTGGAAAACAACAAGTATTAATTTTTGTCCATTCAAGAAAAGATACAATTGAAACAGCTAAGTACATTAAAGAAATGGCATTACAAGAAAATTGTCTTCATACTTTTCTTCAGAATAGAAGAGCAAGTCAAGAAGTTTTATTGTCAGAAGCTAAGAAATTTGATAATGAAGAATTAAAAGAATTAATCGGAGTTGGTATTGGTATTCACCATGCCGGAATGAATAAAGAGGACAGAAGATTAATAGAAGATTTGTATGCTGATAATCATCTTCAAGTACTTGTTTCTACTGCTACATTAGCATGGGGGGTTAATTTACCAGCACATACTGTCATTATTAAAGGAACACAAATATATTCACCACCTACAGGTCGTTGGGAAGAATTAAGTCCCATGGACGTTATGCAAATGATTGGAAGAGCTGGAAGACCACAATTTGATAAAGAAGGGACTGGTATTATTATAACTACACAAAGAGAAATGTTCTTTTATATGTCATTATTATCTCAACAATTACCAATTGAATCACAATTTATTGGTTCATTAGGTGATAATTTAAATGCTGAAGTAGTAATCGGAAATGTCAAAAGTATTGATGATGGAATTAAATGGTTAACAATGACATATTATTACATTTGTATCTTACGTTCTCCATTACTTTATGGATTACAACCAAATGACTTCACAAATGACCCTACTTTAGAGTCTAGAAGAAGAGATCTTATTCATTCAGCTGCATCATTATTACATGCCAATGGACTTGCTATTTATGATAAACGAAAAGGAACAATTAATGCTACTGAGTTAGGAAGAATATCATCATATTATTATTTAACAACAGAAACAATTAAATCAATGAATGAAGCACTTAAGAAAGGGTCAAGTGAAATTGATTTAATGAATATCTTTTCTAAATCAAGTGAATTTAAATATGTTTCAATTAGAGAGACTGAAAAGATAGAACTTGAAACTTTATTAAATCAAGTCCCTATTCCTATTAAATCAACTATAGAAGATCCATCATGTAAAATTAGTGTATTATTACAAGTTTATATTGGAAGATTAACACTTCCTGGATTTGTATTAGCCTCTGATACTATCTTTATTTCACAAAATGCTGCTCGTATATTTAGAGCATTATTTGAATTATTACTTATTAAAAGATGGGCAAGACCAGCACTTAAAGCATTAGAACTCTGTAAATCTGTAACAAGAAGGTTATTTAATAGTCAATGTCCATTGAGGCAAATACCAGGAGTCCCTGATGATATTTGTAAACGTTTAGAACGAATTGACTTTCCATTTGAGAGGTTAGTTAGTCTAACTTCAGTTCAATTAGGGGAATTGATTAGATTACCAACAAAAGGAAATGCATTATATAATATGGTTCATTCATTTCCTTTATTAAATATTTCAACTATATCTCAACCAATCAACAGAACTTTACTTAAAATTAAAGTTACTCTTGAACCAATGTTTAATTATGATTATAGAATTCATGGAACATCATTAGGGTATTGGATTATTGTTTTAGATGGTAATGGAGATTATATATTATATTATCAATACTTCATCCTCAAACAAACTAAATCAAATCAAGTTCATTATCTCAATGTTTTTGTTCCTTTAATTGATCCATTACCATTTAATTATTTTGTATACTGTATTAGTGATTCCTATTTAAAATGTTCTACGTCATCAGTAGTTTCATTGAGACACTTAGTATTACCAACTAAAGTTTCAACACCAAATGAATTATTAGGAATGGCATTATTACCAACACAAACATTCTATAAATCATTAAATATTGGTTATAAAATATTTTCATTTGATGTATTTAATTCACTTCAAACACAATTATATCAAGCTGTTGTTGAAACAAATAATTCGTTATATATTGCATCACATAGTGGATCAGGAAAAACAGTTATTGCAGAAATGGGGTTATTAAAACATATACAAGAGCATAATGGAAAAGGAGCTATTTATGTAATACCATTTGATGAAGAACGAGACTTATTATATTTGGAAATGAAAAACCAATCTATTTCAGTAGAAATGATGAAAACAGATAATAAAGATATTGAAGAACAATTAAAAAATGTACAAGTTATTCTTGCAAGTATTCATAATTTTGAAAAGTATCTTAGAGATTGGAAACGAAATGAAAATACAATTAAATCTATTGGAATTATTATTCTTGATGACTTACAAAGAGTAGGAGAGGATGTTGAATATGAAATGTTAATATCAAGAATTAAAATTATTCAAAAAGAGTATCAAAATAATATTAGAATTATTGGATTATCATTACCTATTAGTGATAGTAAATCAATGAGAGAATGGTTAGGTATTACACAAAATAATTGTTATTCATTCTCAATGAAAGCTAGAGTTTATCCAATTAATGTTCAAATAGAAATTATGAAACAAACTGAATATTCAATGAGACTTCAAGCAATGATTCAACCAACTATTGAATTACTTTTTAGTTATTGGAAACAAAATAAAAAAAGTGTTATTACAGTTCCAAGTAAAAAATTATTATTAAATACTGTTCAACAATTTATTCTTTTATTACAAAAAAATAAGATAATTCAATTTAATAACCAAGGAAGAGTTGAACCAAAAAATGAAATTGAAGAAATAATTAAACAATATAAAATTAAAAATGAAATTGCCATTCAAGGTATTTATAGTGGAATTGGAATTATATTTAATGGAGAAGAAGAAGAAGAAAAAATAGTTATTAAAAATTTGTTTAGAGAAGGTATTATTAAAACAATATTTTTAACTTTTAATGAAATTGAATATTTTAGAGAACAAGCAGATGAAGGAATTATAATGGGAACAATTAAATCAGAATCAAATGAAAAAGTTCTTGAATTAGAAATGATTCATAAATTTATGGGGTGTATTAAAAATGGAAATGTTATGATTTATTGTGAACCAAATAAAAAAGAATATCTTAGTAAATTTTTAGAAGAATCTCTTCCATTAGAAAGTAGGTTAATTCAAATGGGAAATGAAATGTATGATAATTTGATTCAATTCTTTAACACTGAAATTGTTAATCAAACAATTGTTGATTATCAAAGTGCTATCAATTTATTGACAAATACATTCTTTTATAGAAGAATAAGAAGTAATCCAAGTTATTATTTTGTTGAAGGAAGAGAGATGAGTATTATATCAAATTATTTGTCAGGTCTTGTTGAAACAGTTTTTGATAAATTAAATGAAATGAAATTTATTACTATTGATGAACAAACACAAACTGTTCAATCAACAGAAATGGGAACCTTAGCTGTAAATCAAATTAATGATTCAATGGAATTAGATTGATTGCTTTTTATGTATAAAATAATGAATTTAATTTAAAAGTTACTTTTTTTATTTGAAAAGGGTTTTTAATAAAACATTAAAAAAGAATTTCTTTTATTTTTTGATATGACTGATACACAACCAAGTCAAAACCAAACAAATCTCACTGTCTTACAAAGAAGAAAACTTCGTATTTTAAATAATAACCAAGACAGACTTGGATTAATTACTGGTAAAATCGACAAAATTGAAGAAAAACCAATCACTGAGGAAGATGTTATTCATCAACAAAAACAAAATACTTCTATTCAACAAAATATAATTCAACAACAAAACTCTCAAACAGAAAATAAACAAGAAAGTCCTATTGCCAACAAATTAAAGAATGTTGGTATTGCATTTTTAATCTTATTTATTGGAACGTTTATTGCTCATTTTGCTGGTTATTCTTTATTACCTTCAGAGTTTATAGAAGGATTCATTTGTTGTTTGTTTATGGTGGTTGCTGGAATTTTATTATTAATAAGAAAATTGATTCAATTACTTCCTGCATTAGCTCCACCATCTTCTATTCCAGAACATAAAGAATAATTAATAACTTTATTGATAACTTTATTTAAAATCTTTTTTTCTTAATAAAGAACTTAAAATTTTAATTAAGTTGTTATGTTAAAATATATTGTTATTATTAATAGAACTGGTCAAACAAGATTATCAAGATTTTATGATGAATCACTTCAAAGAGATAAAACAAATTTATGTAATGAAATCTATCGTAAATGTATTACTGCATCAGAGCAAAGTGTTTGTTTGTTTTTTTTTAATGAAAAAAAAAATTTATTTTATAGAATGTTGTGTATGAATGTCGTGATCATCGGTTTGTGATGAGAAGATTTGCTTCAATCTTTGTTATTGTTGGATTTGATGAAGAAGAAAATGAATTGGCGATTTATGAATTTATTCATTTTCTAGTTCAGATATATGACCTTTTATTTGATAATGCATGTGAGATTGATGTTTGTCTTTTTCGTACTAATTTTTTTGTTTAAAATATAACAATAGTAATTACAAATAGATTATTTCACGAATTGATGATGCATTATGGGTTATTGACACAATTGTATGTGATGGGTTGATAATGAACACAAATAGAGAAGCAATATTAGAAGAATGTAATTACATGAAAGAAAAGAGTTCAATATATTCATTTAAATCTCAATTAATTTGAACTTTTTTTTTTAAATTCCTTTTTAGATTCTTTCATAAACAAGTTGAAAAAAAAAACATGAAACTAAGAATTTACAGTTTATGCCTTTACTTACATTAAAAACTAACAGACATTCTTCTGTGTTATATGAATTTAAACCTAATGATGTTATTAATACCATTAAGTCACAAATTAGTCCTAAAGGAATGAATAATTTTGATCGGATAATTCTTTATTTTCATGATAAACGCGTTGATGGTTCATTAACGTTTTCACAAGCAAATATTTTTTCTGGATCAACACTTATTTATTTAATTAAAGGAGATGGGAAAACAATGGACGAAAGTGATATGATAATTGAAATGTTAGATTTAGGAATTCCTTATCATAAAGCAACTGTTGCTCTTTCAAAATCAAAGAATAACCTAAAGCAAGCAATTCGCTTAGCACAAGAAGTTTGCTAATTGCTTTATTATTTTATTTATATTTAATTCTTATTGTTAGGAAGATAGTAGTCTTGATGATTCTTCAGTTTTTAGTGATGATGAAAGTCTAAGTGAATTTATACCAACACCTCATGTTGAACAAGTGACATCACAATTCGATTCATCTAATGATTATGCTGAAGAAGTTCTTTCTGAGAACTTTAAATCAAATGAAAGTGGATTAAATTGATTTTTGAAATACAAACCATTATTTTCAATTAGTTTCTATTTATTTTAGTCAAATTAACCAAAAACAAGTAATTGTTCTTCATCTGAAGCATTTACTCTAAAAGAACTTACAGCAATATCAGCATCAATATAAATGTTATCATCAAATTTATTTTCCATTTTTTGAAAGAATATAGATATATCATCTAATTCAAATCTATGTTTCATTATAATTTCTTTATGTTGAATTAATAGTGATGCAGCAATAAAAAAATATAATTTATTTTCTGGATATGCAAAAATTGCATCCCATAATCTGACACAAGCCATATGTGGAAAGTCTCTTCTAAATAATAAGATAATCCATTTATACATAAATGAATATGAAATACCAACCATTTTTAAATATCCATGAAAATCTGGGTCTATAACTTTAATAATAGGGCTCATATAAATATCTGTTTTTTCATTCTTTAAATATACTAAACTCATCATTTCCATTACTTTGATAAATAATCCAAATGTCTCATATTCTAGTTTACTATATTCCATTAGTCCAATTAAAATATCACTCATCCCTTGTTGATAACCTCCATCAAAATTATATAATGTCCAACATTTTAATAATCTTTCAACAATACTTTTAATTTCTTTTTTACTTAAATTCCAATTCTTAGAACATGCTGTTGAAATATGAGTTCTACCAATATCATTTTCAATTTGTTTCCAACAAGTTGATAATTTCTTGTTTTGGTTTACTTGAATGTCCATAGTTAATGCTACTTGTTTTGCTAATTTTGAATATTTTTCTTCTTCAAAATTATATCCAAGACATTTTTTCCATATATCACATCTACATTCTTCATTTGTCCCTCTATAAAATAATGCTTTTCTAACATTTGTTTGATTCATTTTATCCCATCGAGTTTCTTGTGTAATTTTTTCAGTACAATCAGCACGAATTTGTTTAATCCAAGAATTTCTTTTTATTAATTGTTCATCATATTGTAATTGACTAATGTATTTTTCAACATCAACTTCATAAGGAATTCTTTTTTTTTCTGTTCTTATAAACCCATCATTCATTATTACATTGGCTGATTTTAGTACCTCACAAAAAGAAATAAAAGAGTCTCGTTTGAAGATGATTGGGTATAATTGAATATTCAATTGTCTACCAGGATGAAACCGAACTTCTGTTTCTGTTATTCGTTTAACTATATTATATGAAGGTGTGTCTTCGATGCAAAAATTAAAGTAATATAATGGATTTTTTTTCTTTTGTGGTGTTCCTCCAATTGCATCTGATTGAATAGCACTTTGAAATTGAAGATAAACATGCCCAGTTAAAGTATTAAGAGATAAACATCCTTCTATTAGTTTAGACTTTACAATTATTTCAACAGTCTCTTTGAATTTGGTTTCGTTAATAAATGGATTAACAAGTATAAGGGGTTGGTTTGAACTCATTGTTAGGGAACTGGTATTCCGATTTAATAAAAGAGAGGATGAAGATTTGATAGGTGTTTGAGGTGTTGTGATGGGATTAGACATTTAAAATAACTAGATTATAATAAAATAAAAATTAGTTAATTAAGTATTAATAGAATTTTCATCTATTCTTCCTAGCTCAGGGGAGACTAATCCCATCCCTGAGCTTATTAAAAAAGAGTAATCTCTTTGTTGAACCTATCATTTAGGTTTGTCTTGCAAAATGAGGAAAGCACTTCTTTGCTTTATTTTTCCTATTAAGGTTTTTTCAAACTTCTTCTGCTTATTTCTTCTTTTTAAGCCTTTGTTTGTTTTCTGCCTTAATTTTAAGGAATTTCATTTTTCTTATTTTATGAATGGAAGAAGGAATCATTTTATTACTACTGTATTACTTTGACTAATCTTCTTTTTAGTCTTATTTTGACTAATTTTCTTTTAGTCATACCCACACTTCAGTAGATTCTTATATTACATCCATGTAATATTCTACTGTATTCTCTTGCTGCACCCTTTGCAGCTTCCCTAATACATTCCTAATTCAAAGGCACCGTCATAACCAGATAATAACTGGGAGAGTCGAAGTATGAATTTGTACTAGGGTTTATGTGTGGTGTTTCAGACGTGCCACTTTCGATCTAATAACTAGATTATATAAAATAAAATCATGTTGTTATATTCAAAGAATGAAATTTTAAGGAATTATGATAAGAAAAATTCTGAAAAGAAATGAAATGAAAAAAAAAAAGAACTTAAAATAATCATTTTGTGTTTTTAATAACAAATCATGTCTAATAAAGCAATTCTTCCTTCATTTACAGTTGGAGCACCATTACCAACACAAACAAGTTTACAAGTACCAGAAAACCAAATGCATTTTCTTGAAGTAAGTAGAGTAGAAATGTATACTAATGAAGAATATGAAAAATATTTACAACATAAAGAATGGACAAGATCAACAACAGATAATTTAATGGAATATGTAAAACAGTATGGAATGTGTTGGGAAGTAATTCATGATAGATTAGTTGTATATAATGAGTTTAGATTAACAGTTGATGCTGTTATTGAAAGATATTTACAAATTGTATTAAAGTTAGCACAAGTACGATTTGTTGAAAAATATCCACCAAGTATGTTTATCCATCCATATGATTTCTTTCCATTTGACCGTAAATATGAAGAACAAAGAAAAGAAGATGGAATGAAAAATTTATTAGAACATGTTATAGATAATCCACAAGCAAAACTATTTCTTCCACCAAGTATATTAATAAAGAAAGAAGCAGATTCAATAATGGATGATACAACTGGAAGTTATGCATTATTAGACTCATTACCTAGTGGAGTATATTCAAGATTTCAATTATTATCCGAGAAAACAGAATTATCTAAATTGGCATCATATTTTGAAAAAGACACTTCATTAAATCTTTCATTATTAATTTATCCAGACGATGAATTTGCTAAAATATGTGAAAATATTAAAGATACATTTCATAAAATCGAAGAATATAAAAGAAGAATGGAACAAATTAAAAGAAAATCAGAATAATAAATTAATTAATTATTCTATTGTTCAAACCCAAGATAAAATGAATGAAAAAGAAATGTAAACACTTCTTCATCAAAAAGAATTATTGATGTTTTTTCAAAATTAAATAAATACTTTGAATCTTTCATATCTACTACTAAATATCTTTCATTTTTCTCTAATTCATTCAAAAAATGAGAATTTATAGTACAAATTGCTATCCATTGTTTTGAGTTACATTCATCAGGATTTGCATAAATATTTTGTTTAATTAAATGAAATTCAATAATATCATTTTCTTTACATTGTAATTTATTTTGAATAATTTCTTTAATTTTTTGATCAGAATAATCTTCATTATTACATAAACAATTAATAAATCCCCAACATTCTTGATTAATAACTGGTTTATACCTCTTTTCAAAAATAATTTTATTTTGATTTTTTAAAATAACTCTAATAAAATCAGGATTATTGTGTTGAATTCTTTGATAAGATTCCCAAGTAATTGTATTATTTCTTTTTTTTAAAGTAGTGATATTAAATTGTAATACTTCTCCTTTTTTAATACATTGAGTTTCCATTTAAAATTAAATAAACATTGTCATTCAAAGTTTGTTATTTAATACATCAAACAAAAATTAAAAATAAATATAAAACTAGGGTTATAAAAATAGTTTTTGTAATGTTTTATCTTTTAAAAATATTTCATTCTTCATCAATTTCTTTTTGCTGTATCTTTTTTTAGACTTACACAAAAACAGTACTAAAAATTATTAGTTCATGACGTCTTCCAAAGTTGATGTTGAACATGAATTTTATCCTTGTTGTCTTACTTGGACTACTATTCCAGTAATTTCGTTTGTTTTATTAAAAATAAAAAGATGAAGATGTTCTTAATAAAAAGAATTAATTCTCATGTATTAGATGGTTTTTTCCATTTATTGGACATACAGCAATATGTGATATGGAAGGCATACACCATGATTATAGTTTTCCACATATTATACACTCAGGTAAACAAACTATTTTAGGAAGAACATTTAAGTTTGTTAGTCTAATGAAATGTTAAAAAAGAAGAAGAAAAGAATATTTATTGTTTTAAGATATCTTCCAATTATTTATGGAGAAGGAATAAACGACAATGACTTTAAAGAGGCAATTGATAAAGCAAATAAAAAATGGAAACATGTAATGCACAAATATATCATTGATAATTGTCATGATTATTGTGTAGATATTTTAAATAGTGTAAAATACAAAGGGAAATCAAATTGGAATGATTTTACATTGGTATTTGAAATATTTTTCCATTCAATTTATGTTAATAAAAAACGACATCTTGCAACATATATTCCTTCATTATGTTTATGGACATTTATATTTCTTTGTGTAATCGGTTTCATTATAGTTTTACTGTATCAAAACCACGTTTTTTAATTGTACTTTTTGTTTAACATTTAACTTTTTTTATTTAATATAATAATAATTTGTTTTCAATTGATTTATTATTTAAAGTTCTTTTAATGGACTTTTATAATGTTCTAATGGATATGGCTCTTTATGGTATGAATGGCTTGGAGTTTCAAATAAATTATACATCGATAATTTATTTATTGAATAGAACGTATTTCTTCTTATAAATTTATTTATTCCTTTTTCATCACCATAACCAGATATTTCATTTGGTTTATGATCACTTCCTCTAAATACTAAAATAGTTGGCATGTTTCTAAATGTCATATTAACCATTACATCTTCTGTAGAAAGATCAACACTTCCAAATTGAATATTTGGAACATTTTCAAGAGCTTTTGCATTCTTTGCAAAACATGAAAAAGAATCATCTAAATCCCTATAGTAAACATATAAACAAATATCTTTGTCTTGGTTTATAAATTTGTCAAATGTCTCTGCTGTAAGTTCATTAATAAGAGAGTCTTGTTGAATAATTTTACTTGAACGTATTGTTGGTTTTATTTGATTATTCATCACTTGATCAACCCATTCACTAACACTTGTTTGATCCCAATTACCAAAATAGTCATATACAATTCGTTCATTGCATGTAATAATTCTGATGTGATTAGTTTGTGGAAATATTCTTTGAATATTCTTTCCATAAATACTTTCTCCAAAATTATTTGAACCTAATGCTACATAAAAACCAAGTAATTTTCCCCAATATTTTTCTAATGAATTTGCTAAAACAATTCCCTCTTTAAATTCTGTTGAATAAACAATAACATAACGTGCTTCATACAATTTCATTTGATTTTCTAATTCTGGTGAATATGTAGTATATGGATATGTTATGTGTTGCATAAGATAGAATTTAAGGTAATCTCCAACATCATCAATACTTAATGTTTTCTTTATATATTTAGTTGGGTCAAATACTGACCTAACATAACTATCTATTTTCATAGCTTTTTCATATGACTTAATATAATACACAAACTTGACTCTTTCTGTAAAATATGGCTTTAATACTTGTTCCAAAAAATTAAAATTTATTTTAACAACCGTTTCATTACTAAATCGTACAACAATTAAAACATCACTCTCATATTGAAGGTCTTCAATATCATCTTCATCAGTTTTACTAAGCAAGTCTGACATACATCGTACAATCCATCGTTGAAGAGTTGAAACTTTTTTTTGTCCATCAAAAGAGCTAAATAAAATACCTTCTCGATACAAATTGACAATAGGAAATTGATTATAATTGCAATCATTATTACTACAATCTACGTTGACTATTAGTAATTCTGGGTGATTTGTTTTCTCTTCTATTTCAAGTTGTTCCATTACGGGTTTTAACTCTTTACAATGCATACACCATGATACTGAATAAAATACAATAACATATTTATTGTTTTGAACTAATTCATCAACTTCATTTTGACTATAAACGCTAAGTGAAGTGGATTGATAAAAAAGAATGGAGAGAATGAGTATAATCATCATCAATTTATTATTTTCAGATTCATTCACCTTTTCTCATTTTTAATAAAATATTTTTAATAACGAAAATAATATTTGTCTTTTAATTATGCTTTTTGTTGTTTAATGGAATTTTTCATTATTCACATTAGTCAAATACTACAAAAATATGAAAATAGTTTATTGCAATGATATTTACTTTAGGTTAGCTAAGTTTTAGTAGATTGGGATTAGTTCATAACTGTATTAGACTTATTTTGTTAAAGGGAATATTGAAACTAAATACAAAACCAAAAATATTGTAAAAAACTACCAAATAAAATGGTGACAACAAGTAAGTTGTTATTCTGAAACTAAAACACTATTAATTTAAGGTGGCGTTTCCGTCTCAAAAAGAAGAGTTAAGGTAATACCTAAGACAAATAGAATATAATTAACTATACATAAAATACTTCTCAATAAATAACTTGAATTAGTTAATTTATTATAAAGAAACATCATTATTGATTTACAAATACTAAACTAATAAAAAATACTTTCTTTCCATTACTTATAGTACAATACACAATAATTTTATATTAGAATTAAGGAATTATGATAAACTTTCAGTATTAATACAGCTAGCTATAATAGTAACTGGTTTTAATTAAGTCTTATAAAAACTCTGAATAAAACCCAATGAAAAGAATACTATAAACATTTATTTATGAATTTTATTGGTACTCTTCAAAAAAAAAAATAAATATAACTTTTATCACAATAAACAACTTAATTCTCTTAAGCAACAATTAGGCATAAAACTAAGTTACTCTATAAAAAAATTCATACTTGAAATGATATAAAAATAATATGAATTATATGAAAATCATAAACCTTAAAAACATATAGACTGTATTCACATTATATGTATTAATGTTAATTCAATAATACAACTATTCATCATTATTATAAAATTTGATTATTATTGAAATAATGTGTTTTAATTAATGAGGTAATATAAAATAATCAAGCAATTCAGAATTATGATGATATAATGAATAATACAATAAAACTATAATAATCAATGAATAAAAAGAAATACTGAATAAACTTATGTTCATACTTAACACCAAAACACTAAAAACTGTATAAAATAATTAATGGTTTATTATTTTTTTTTTTGAATAGGGATATATTTACATTCTTATATAGAACAAATAAAATACAAACACATTAAATGTACAGTGATTTAATACCAAGTATAGACTATCCTCAAAACTAATAAGACAATTGTTCCTTTTTTCCAAATCTTTTTAGGAAAGGAAAATTAGGAACTTGTAATTTATAATGGCTGATTCATTAATTCATCTACGTAACGCCTGGCAAGTTGACCAAGCAATTCTTGCTGAAGAAGAAAAGGTTGTGATCATACGATTTGGAAGAGACTATGACCCTGAATGTATGCAAATGGACCATCGACTAGCATCAATCCAAGAACAAATTTCAAGGATGGCTGTTATTTATGTTGTTTGTTCATTTTTGATTGTTGTAAATAACCAAATAATAAGAGTATTAGTGATACTTAATTTTTAGGTTGACATTGACCAAACTCCTGACTTTAATGTTATGTACGAATTATATGACCCAGTTACTGTAATGTTTTTTTACAGGAAGAAACACATCCAAGTAGATTTAGGAACAGGAAATAATAATAAAATTAATTTTGTTATTAATAATAAAGAAGACTTAATCACTATTATCGAGTGTGTCTATACAGGAGCAAGAAGAGGTCGTGGTATTGTATTTTCACCAAAAGATTTTTCAACAAAATACAACTATTAAAATACTTAAATTATAATTAATTGGTTTATTGTCTTTTTTTTTATGATGGATATAATCAAATTAAGTTCTGTGATGTTAAACGGATTATGGATAAATCTCTTTCTTATTACCTTATAAGTTCGACTTGAGTTATTTATTATACTTTGTTGATTTAGAAATTTAAACTACGTTCATTCTTTCAATAGAATAAACTTTTTACTCTACTAACAATGTTAATAATATTATATACATTGTAAGTTGTGAATTTTGTTCGTCTTACAATTACTTTTTCCTTAATTCTCTTTTAAATACAACCCTTTAATTTAAGATTTGTGTGTAACCATCCTCTTTCTTGTTTAATGATTCTCTATTTCATAATTCTTTATTTTCTTTAAAACAATATTCAAAGTGTTGTTTTTATTTAATCAATCTTCGTTGTTCTTTCTTTCATTCTAATTTAATTATTCTTATAAAACTTTTAAATAAAACCAATTGTTGATTATATAAAACCCCCTTATTATTAAAGTAAATAAATATTACTTCTTTTTAGTTTAAGGTTTGTAAATAAATATTCTTTAGTACTTAAAACATTAGTCAGGATATAGATTATTACTCATTTTATTAAAAAGAATATTTTTTTTTTCATTATGTTGTTTATTCTAATGGAAAAGAAATTTTATAAAAAGAATAGCACCCAATACTCATAATACAGAAGGTTTATTTTAATAAAAATTATTCAATAGAATCTTAAACAAATAACATAAAAAGAAAGAGAATTAAAATAAATCTTTCAAATATTATTTTATACATAAAAAATGAAATAATAAAAAAAGAATAAATCTTCACTTAAATTCTACACAGTAAATCAGTTTTAATTTTTCCTTTTTAAAAGAAGAAAATTTAATTTAATTAAAGAAAATAAAAAGAATTATAAATATGTACAATGACTCTTCTCAACAGAGTCTGAATTTGTTTCTTTATTGTCTATTAAAAGCCAGTCATAAGCAGCTTGAATAAAAATTGATATAATATCTATATTTTGATGTAAAAGTGATACTTCATAATATTTTGAGTTTAATTCTCTCACATATTTATAAATTTCATTTTGGTCAATATGTTTTGGTAAATCTGCCATAGTACCACAAACAATCCAAATAACTTTATATTTTAAATAGCTCTCAACTTCTTTTTGTAATTTTTTCATTGTATTAAATGACTCTTTATTTCCTAGAGAAAATACACATATGATAACATCAACCTTTGACTCCCCAGCTATCCACATAATTCCTCCAATTGTTAGACTATCAATAACATCAATATAAATCATGTTTTGATCTATATAAAATTTTCTTAAATAACGTTCACTTAACGTAGGGTCTTGAACCAAAACAATATTGTCCTCTCCAAAACTTTTAGCAATTGACGATTTTCCAACTCCATATGCACCAATAAAACAACATACCATTCGTTTTATTTCTTCCATTTGATTTACCACCAAATTATTTTTATTAAGTTATTTTATTAATTCTTTTAAGTTATTTTAAAATAATAATCATAATCAATATTCTTAATATCATCTTCAATGAGGAAACTGTAAAAATTCAACTAATAATACCCACTTGTCTCTCAAAACAATATAAATTAGTAAAAAGAAAGAATAAATAATAATAATTAAAGGGTTTTTTCTAATTTTAAAATGAACCATTAAACAAAATATAAAAAAAGATGTTGTTGAATAAATAAAAACACAGACAAAGGCTGTTCATTGATAAGGTCCCCATACTTCATCATCTAAAAATGAAAATGTATGTTTATTAAGAATATCATCTTCAGTTACATCAGTTAATGATGAATTGTCATCATCATCTAATTGATGAATTAGCTTTTCATAATTCTTTAATAAAGGTGAATCTACTTTCCTTATATCTTTAATATTTGGTCTTACAAGAACTTCATCATATCCTTCAGTTAAATATTCTGATGATGTAAATGATCCAAATGCCATTAATAATGATTGAATCAACGAACCAGTAGAATCATCAACAAAAATTTCTTTAAATGACCTTTTTGTTGATGGTTCTTTTTTAATTTCCATATATTTATTTGTTTGTTTTACTCTGTGAAGTCTTCTACTTTTTTTTGATTCAAGTGTTTCACTGTATTGAATTATTAATTGTCCACCATCCCAAAACTTTCCATTTTCATTTTTTAAAGCCAACCCTGCAGATTTTTCATCAGTAAATTTAACAAATGCATATGGTGGAAAATTAGCTCCTAAAAATGTAAATATTTAAATTAATTTCATATTGAATTTTCATTTGAAAACAATTTTAATAAATTGTTACTAATTTAAACTATTAATAAAATTCATCTCAAAGAACTTGTTCTTTTCTTATTTGTTCTTTTTTTAATTGAACAACTTTTGATATAATATCTTTTTTTACTAATACTTTATTATAAAAACAAACCTTTTCCAACAACAGTTACTTTCTCAACTAGTCCATAAACACTAAAATGATCATAAACACTTGTATCATTAGCATTACAATTTTGAAGTCCAGTAATATATAATGTCTTTTTGTCTAAATCTGAATCTCGTATTTGTGTTGATTTAGCCCATTCAATAATCCAATGATGTTCATTGATAATTTCTGGTACATTAGAAAAACATTTTTGTGCTTCAAGTGGTGTTTTAAAACTAACAAATGCACATCCTTTACTCTTTTTTGTCTCTCTATCACAAACCATTGTTACTTCTTCTACTTCTCCATATTGATTACATACTTTTTTTAATATTTCTTCTTTCATCATAGGCCCTAATCTTGCAAAGAATAGAGTAGCCATAGGTGCACTATTTTCTCGTTTACCATATCTATTTAACACTCCAGACATCCTCTGTCTTAATTTTTAATATAATTTATTCTTAGTTTGTTTTTTTCTCAACTCTAATCCCCTATTATTCCTATATTTCCCGATATTTTCCCATTTTCTTCAGTTTCTGGTTTCTTTTTTTTTTCGTTTCATTGATTATTTTGTTTTTCTTTGTTTAAAATCATCTTTTTTGATAAAAAAAGGTTTTTTTTTTCATTAATTTATATCTCTTTTTTTTTTATTTATAAATATTTATAAAATTTAAAATAACACAAAATAAATTATTTTTATGTTATTTCAATGTAAATAAATTCTTGAGATGACAAGAAAGAATTTTAATCTTATTTTTTTGCCACACAATCTGGACATAATTTCTTTTGACCTTTTAACCCAAATTTTCCTCCAAGTTGTTTACCACAATTATCACATTTAAAGCACTTTAAATGGAATGATCCAATTTTAGTTTTAGCTATTCCTTTTGCTGGTAATAGTGCTCCACATGCTTTACATTTTTCTGCATTCTTTGAAGCTTCTTTTGTTATATAATTAATTTTTTCTGTAGCTGGAATACCAACAACAGCACCAATCTTAATATTATTCCCTGATCTAAAAGAAAGAGTAAACTTAAATGGTAATTTACTCACACAACTTTGATGTGTTTCAACAATCATTCTATGGTTTCCACTTCCTAACTTCATCTTTTTACCACATAAATTAGATGAAATAACAAAAGTCTCTCCAGAATCACCTCCAATAGGTTGTTCATTATCATCTATTCCCCACATTCTAAATGCAATTTTATTATCACAACGAGGTTGTGATATTGAAACAATACATTCACCCTTTCCTTCAAAATTAATAGCCATTTGTTTATCAGTCATTTCAACATCAACACTGTTGAAACAATCCCAATCTTTTTTATAAAATACAACAGTAAGCTCATCAAAGAATTTAACAAAATCACCGATTTCCATAAAGTAAATTCCATCATTTACTTCAACAACTTCTAACTTCTTTTTCATTGATTCTGTCCAAGCAGGGTCATCATCTCTCCATTTACCTTTCCACTCACAACATCCCCATGGATTTCTAATTTTCAATAATTTAATTCCATCTACTTCATAAGCTCCAATGAGTGTATATGCATGATTTTCTACTAATCCATATTCTTTTTCAATATCAATACCAGGTGTATCAGGTACATTAGCAACCATACAATATTTCTTTTTATCATAATCTGCAATTTTTTTAAATAAACGATTAACGTCTGTTTCTCTGGTAGATATACGTTTTACTGGCATTCCTGTTAAATCACTTAAAGCTAAGAATGGAATTCCTCCTTCAATTTCTCCATAACTACCAACAACTTTAGCGTATGCCTTCTCTAATAACATTACCCATAATTCATCTCCATTATTATGGCTAAAAAATGGTTGGCCATTATTACAAGGAATTAAATCATCAATAACAATATGTCTTTCTTTTCCCATATAGAAAAGAGTTATTTCATATTTTCCATTTCCACATGATTTGATCATAGTCTTAATTCTTTCAGGAAATTCTGATAAAGAAGCTAAAGCAGCCAAAAAGTAACAGTCTCCAAGACATCCTTGTTGAATGTCTAATGGCTCAATTCCATTTTCATATAATTGTGGATGTTCCATATATTCATTTGGTCTTAAAAATGTTAATGAAGATGGTAAAATACTATCAATTTTACCAATACTTCTTAATTCAGCTGGAAATTCATCGTCAGTAAACATGAAGCTTATTTATATTTTTTAGTTTTTTGTTTTCATTTTATTATTCTATTTTTGGATATTCTTTTATTTTTATACTATTTTTAATTTACTTAATATGTTGTTTTATATAACGATAAAATTTTAAAAATTTAAAACAAAATAAACAATAAAGTCATTTACACCTTAGTTTTGATAGCAAGAACAGTGTTACAAAGAGGACACTTATAATGAATATCTTTTGAAAAGTCAAACACAAGTGGTATCCAGAAACAGAATACACATCCAATACAGAATAAAATTAAGGCTAAAACATATGCAAATATTCCACACTTGTACTCAACTATTGAATGAACTGTTTTGTTACAGGTCGAACAATACATTTCAATAGATTCAGTTGTACTTAAAATTGGTTGATTTTCACTGTATGACATAAACAAATTGATTTTTAAGATTTTTGAAGGTGAGAAAGTGGAAGTTAATGTTAATTTCCTTTTTTATTCATAAATAAAAACCACCTTAAAAACAATTTAATTTTTTTTTTTTTGTTATTTTTTAAACAAATTAAACGATGACTCAAATATTAATTAATGGAAGTATTTAATAAGTATTTTACTTTTTTTTTAATTTGAGTTTCTCTATTGAAATTTACATTTAATAATTTGTTCTTATTTTATTTATAAATAATTGTTATTATTTACGTTGGATTTGAGCATTATACTGAGTGTGGAGAGTATTTTTCTATTTAATATATAATTAATGAGAGTTAAAAGAAGAGGTCCATTACCAGGTATGTTTGTAGCATTTATTCATCTCATTGTAAAAACTAAAATTACATAGAGAAAATTTGTGTTATTAGTTATAACTTATACATTAATGGATATTATATTACTTATTGTTAGGTATTAATCTATTATTTTCTTTGTTTGGTTTTATGTGTGGATTTGATCTGGTTGTATGAGTCAAATAACAATACTTCATATTGGTGTTAAGGGGTGTATGGTTTGTTCGTTTAAATATTTAGAAGTATGTTTTAGTCTTTATAAACGAATTGTAACTTATATTCTTCTTAAGAACTTTTTTGAAAGATTGGTGAGAATGATGTTCATTAGTCAATAATGCCTCAACATTTCCACATTTTGAATAACTGACAATTGTTCAATTTGCTCCAACAGAAAGAAATATTTTGTTTATGAATCTAAAATCTAATTTAATTAGAAGGAAATTTGAACTAATTAAATATTATTTAAAACTTACTCCCTCCTCAAAAAAATTATTAATTGACTTTTTTTCGTTATTCAAGAATTAATTCAAAGCATAAAACAAATAATATTGTTTTTGTTATTGAACAAATCCTTCGATTCTTTTAAAGAAAATCAAACAACACAGAAACAAAACATTCAAGGAGATAGAAATAATAATAAATAATAAAGCAATTAATTAAGTATTAATAGAACTAGCTTCTATTGTTAATGGCTTAGGGGAGACTAATCCTGTCAATTTGTCTTCAAGCAACTCTATGGAGTATGTTTGGTTGTGATTGAAGTAGTATTCAATGACATCCATCATGTTTTTAATTATAAGGTTTTTAGCTTATTTAATGATGTTAATGTCAATTTTTAATTCTTTAATTAATTTAATACTTGAGTTATTTATTAATCCATTTATTGAGATTACTACTGGTATTGTTTTGACTTATTTTAACTTTTCTATTTTCATTAGAATATTCTTTAATTCCTTATACTTATTTCTTTTCTTCAAATACACTCCATTAATATTGTAATATTCATAGTCATATCAAATATTAGACCCGTTTTATTCTTTTTATCTATTATATATATCTAGTATTTTGTGATATTGTCATTCACTTTTATGCATTATTTGTTTGTTCAATATCATCGTGATGTATTTATATTTGAACACTGTTTCATATGGGGGTTTTTATATTGATTATTTCCTGTATATTTTCTTATTAATCAATATGATTATGCCAATATTGTCATGTTTCTTCATTTCTGATTTTTTATGATAAATACAAGATAGTAGAATATGTTCTACTGTTGTTATCTTGTCTTTACAAAGTGTTGAGTATTTCAATCTTTCATTTTTCATTATTTTTGATTTTCTATACCCACAAAATATTGCACCATCTTGCATTTTAGTTAATTGTAGAAATGCATTCTTTTTAATATTGATTGACTTCCATGCTTTCACTGTAGTAGTTTTATCTACTCATTTTGACTCATTCCATCTTCTAAAATGTCACTTATTTGATGACACTTCAATTTTTGATGTATTTATCATTAATTTCACAGTGGATTATTCACATTTCTTCATTACTTTCTGTCATTATTTTCAAATCATCCATATATAATGTGTGATTTGATTTTGGGAATTTCTCTTCGATGATTTGAGAAATTACATTCATCTGAATGATGAATAGAGTAGATTTGATAATGAATCATTTGTAAAATTCCTCTATTTAATTTAATACATCATAGATATTCATTAAATTTATAACCGATGAATATCTTCCATCTAGTCATCATACTTTCAATAATGTCAATGATGACACCCTCTACATTAAAATATTTTAATGATTCAATAACCCATTCGTGGTTTACTGTGTCATATGCTTTCTTAATGTCATAATATGACTCCACATATTTTGGGTATTTCTCTTCTTTTTGCTGCTTTAATATATAACTATTAATTATTCCTTCTTTAGCAGCTAAAGATTGCAACTTACATCCCAGTTGATTTCTACTAATTTTAAATGATTCATTATTCATGTTAAGTCTTCTGTGAATCTTTTCTTTTAATATGGAGGTAAATACTTTCATAATTACATTTGTACAACTGATAGGACGATAATTAGTGACATCATTCATATCACTTTGTGGATTAATAAAGTTCTTCCACTTACCATGTCTAATGGGATGTTTTCAGGGAAGTTCAACCATTCATTAAAGATATTAAGAATGATTTCTCTTGATGATGACCTCCTTTTCCAATAATACCCATATATAATGTCTATTCCTGGTGCTTTCCAGTTATTTATTCTCATTATACTTAAATTTAATTCATTTAATGTTATTATGACACTATCATAATTTCTATATCTTTCATTCCATGAGGTGATTTGTTTTATTTTCCAATTCTCTTTATTTAATATCACCTGTGTTTCATATAACGATTTCTAATATTCTAAAGTAATATCATTATTTGGATATATTTCATTTTTTATTTCTTCATTATTCTAATTTTCTTGTTAGAATCAAACATTATTTTATTTGTATTGATTCTGACTATTTTATCTTTATTAAATTTAATTCTTTCTTTGATCATTGTCATTATATATTTTATGTATTTTATTCTTTCTAGTGCTTTGACTTTTATTCCTTCTTCATTATATTCTTTTAATTTCATGTTGCACTTTATTCTGTACAATGCCCTTGACCAAATCTTCTAGTCTATTAATTTTCTTTAGGATTTCTTTTATTTCATCAAATTTATCTCTTATTATTTTATTTTGGAGATAGAGGTGCATAATCATTGAAATATTCTTCATATCATCTTGCAGATCATGCATTCTGCTTCCTGACCATTCCCATCTATTATTATTTTCCATTATCAATCGGTCAGTTTCTTTTCTTTTCCAGTAGTAATTAATATTGATACATTTTCTACTTTCATTTATTTTATTTTATTGATGAGAGTGTTAAGGTATTCTTCATCAATTTCTGTAGAGTTATTCTTTAATATGATGTTTTTTATTATTGAATTACACTCTACTCTTCTTTCTATTATATCATTTACTTTCACTTTAATGTACCGTTTAGTGCTTTCTTTTATTTTATGTGATATTTTAATATATTTAATATATTCTTTTTCATTATTGACATTAATGTTTATTACTTTTATTATACTTTCTATTTGTTCCCATCTTAATTTATTATATAATTTCTTATTCAACCAATTAATTGCAAAACAATACAACACTTCAATTAGAATTCTATTTGTTTGGTTTGTTGTATTTCTTGTCTGATTATCATCTCTTGTTTTTTTGACAATCATTGCTTTGCTTTCCTCTTCTATTTCCACTACTGTCTTTTTCATAGGAATAGTTTTGTTCAAAGATATTAAAACAAAAGAAATAAAACATAATGAAGAAATTGAATCATACACATCCTAATATGATGAAATACTAATTATTAAATACATTATAATTAGTTTATTCTGTTTTTCTTTGTTTCTTCATTTATTCTTCTTCGTCTTTACATCATTTCTTCAGTACAAGAATGGCATGAAAATCACATAGAAATAATTTATATCAACCAGTAGATTTAGGTGATAAGTCAAAGCTAAAGTCATAATCATTATCAAACAAGTAATAACCATAACCACTTTATTACATTTTATCATATTTAAAAACACCATAATCACTTCGTATTTAAACACAACTAAAATTAGTTTAACCACAAATACCATAATGCGAGTTGAATGTTTTATCAATACTGTAATGAAAATAAATAAGACAAATAAAAAAGATATAAGAATAAAAGATATTACAAGAAAAAACAATGAATGAAAGACAAAAGAAACAAAGAACAAAAACATATATAAAGAAAAGGTAAAGAGAAATGAATAAATTGAAAGAATAATAAAAGAAAAAATAAGAAAAAAAGAAGATAAACTCATGGAAAGTGAAGAAAAGAAGAAATAATGAAAGAAACAATACATGAAAAACAAAACGAAGTAGAAAATCAGATAAAACAAAGAAATTCAAGAAAAGAATAGTTGTGTTTAATGGAATTAAAGAAATTAAAATAATATTAATTAATTTACCGATAATGATGGCAAAAATGTCTAAAATAATACATCAAAGAAGAAAAACTAAATAAAAACCATACTGAAACTAAAAGAATAATAAATGATCTAGAAAGGGTTTTATGAAAAACAACTATTTTGTTTAATCGTCGAATCGATGTCAGCTCCACAATGGTTTGTTCCAGTTAAAGCAGGTGATGCTAAAGTTCCAGCTTATTACCCAACCGACGATATGATTCAAGAACAAAAGAAGAAATTAAGAACAAGAAAAGGAGCTAAAATAACAGCTCTTGATAAACCAGCATGGAATCTTGAAAAGTTGAGAAAAAGTATTGTACCAGGTGCTATTCTTATTATTGTTGCTGGTAAATATGCAGGAAAGAAAGTTGTTTTCTTAAAACAATGTATTAAATCAGGTGCTCTTATTGTTACTGGACCATTCAAAATCAACGGAGTTCCATTAATGAGAATTAATCAAAGATATGTTATTGCTACTTCTCAAAAGGTAGATGTTTCTAAAGTTGATACTACTGGTGTAGATGTTAAATTCTTCAAAAAGATTGCTATTAAGAAAGCTGCATTTGGAAAAACCGTTGAAGAAGATTTTGCTAAGAAACAATATGAAGCTAAGAAAGCATTAATTGTCGAAAAACAAAAACAAGTAGATGAAAGTATTGTTGCAGAAATTAAGAAAGTTCCATACCTTAAAGAATATATGGCTTCTTACTTCACACTTAAGAATGGTGACCATCCACATCTCCTTAAATTCTAAGTTAACTCAATTAAATCTTGAAATGATTCTTTTGTTCTAATTTCACAGTTCTTTTTCTTTCTAATAGTAAATAAATAAAAAATTAAAGAAAAGATAAAATCAATTATTGACGTTCTGGTAAATTTAATGGGAAAGAATTATATTGATTCATTGATTGAACGATATTAAAGAGATGGTCACTTACTTCATCTTTTGGATCTGTCTTAGACCAAACTCTTTCAAAGAATTCAACATTAAAGAATAAACTAAATAAGTCTCGTAATTTGGATAAATTCTTTGGTGAGAGACAAGGACGTAATGTTTGAATTAATTGTGTTTTAATTTCATTATTTAATAAGTCAACAAGATTTTTAAATCCAGCTTGAAGATATTCTGCTTTTTTTAATCCAAAATATCTAAATAGTTGATCAAACATAGTAAAAGCATTACGAAGAGGTTTATCTAATGCATAGATTTGTTCATTTGAAATATTTTTATGTTGCCATTCCATATAACATTTAGCAACTAATTTCATTATAAACTTTTCATATTTCTTTGCTTCTTCTTTTCCTGCATCAATTTCAATTAATTTTTCTATTGCTTTTAATAAATTATTCATTTCATCATTCATAACAAAACTTGCACTTCCACTTCCTCCAACTGATGCAACAGTATTTCGTGTAATTTTATCCATTAAACTTCTTTTAGACTTTTTAATTAATGTTTTACTTGGAGCAGATTGTGGGGTGAGTTTACAGTGCTTTTCAAAGGTGTCAATCCATAATTTAAAAGCATCAGCACTTCTAATCCAATAAGTGTTATTTTATTTTAGTCAAGCAAATCTTTTTTTATGTTTTGGTTTTGCATTATTCTATTTACTATATATTATAGTAATTTTATTATAATAGTATAGTAAATTGAAAGAAGATTAGAAGAAAGAACAAACGTTTTGAACTGATTTACTGTTGACCCAACAGTTATATGAAATGAATTTTTATGTTCATTTAATTTATCTTTTGGATCAGCATTTAATACTAACCCAGCTAATTCTATTGAACCTTCTGGTTTATCATCAAGCTCAGTTTTATAATAATATAATGTAGAGCCATTGACAATAACAAATCGTAATTTCCATTTTTTCTTTAATTTGCATTCCAAATATCCTTCAAACATATCAGCAACTGTTTCGCTCATAGAAAATAATTAAATCTACAAAAAGAGATCTTTTGTGGAAACTTTTTCATAGCAAAAATAAAAAACAGAAAGAAAGAAGTTTGAAAAAAGAAAAAGAGGAAATTAATCAGAGTTGTCCTTGATATTTATTCACACTTAATATATCTCCAACCGCTCCCCATGTTGACCATTTATATTGAAATATAATATTCCATAATAATAGTAATGAAAATTCTATGATTATTAAGACTGCCGATAAAATAATGTCTATTCATTATTTCTTTTTATTTTAATTCATTAAAAACAACAAACACCTATTTCTATAACTAGCCAACGGCGACACATATTTGAATAAAAACCAAATTAACACCATCCACATTACTGGCATAAAGAAAAATCCACAAATAAATAATATTTTACAAATTTTTCTTGCTTTGATATTGTTAAGAGTGTCAGCATGAAAGAACATTGAATTGAATGAATAAAGTTCTTCTTAGAAAATATAAAACAAATAAATAAATAATCAAAACCATTTATTTGATGTATTGAAGGTATTGAGTATTAAAAAGATTTTCATAATACATAATACCTTCTTCTGATTCATCTCGACAAATTAATTCATTTTGTTCTAGTTGATCCATTAATGTTTGGACAATTGCATATTGAATTCCATAATGTTGTGCAATTGTAAAACTACTAATTTTCTGTCTTGATTTTAATGCATCAAGAATGGTATTTTGAAACTTTTCTAATGTAAAATCTCTTTCATGGATAATCAATGATTTATTGACATTCATTAATCCAACATATTTACCTTTATCATTAAGTAATTCACATACATTTCTTAGTTCTTTTGGACTAATTAAAATGCCACGAGCTCTATTGTAAATAGCATATAAATCAGATAGCATTATTGCCATTTCTTTTTTCTTTTGAAAATATAAATAACAAAATTCATCAATTTCATCCATTAATGCTTCTTCATAATTATTTCCAAATAATTTTTTAGTAACTGGTTCAGTAATATCAAGGTATGTTATTAATGATTGATATTCATGATTCTCTTTTTCCATATTTGATTCTTTTAAAAATTTTGTTGCTACCTTATCTAATTGGTCCCAATATTGTATTACTGTATCTAATGACTCAAATGCATTGGAAAAGAGGTTATCAATATCATTTTGATCTTTTTCTTTAGCTTCAATATATGATTTAATTCCATATTGTGGTTGATTAGACATAGAAAGTAAATCTCTAAATAAACAAACTAGAAATAATAAAAGAAGAATGCAAACAAATTGTATTGAAACAATTTATTCAATAGATAAATTTAATATATATTCTACGGAGTGGAATGTTGAAAAACCACAAGCTATGCTTATTTTAATTCATGGGTTTTGTACTTATGCTGGTGTGATGAAAAGAATGGCTAATATGTTAGTTTCACATAACATCTTATTGTGTATGCCAGATTTACCTTATCATGGAAGGTCAAGTGGTGAACCAAAAGGATGGGTAAATTCATTTACTACATTTACTGAAGTGTGTAATAAATATATTGACCAAGTAAAAGAAAAATATAATCCAAATAGGACAATTCCAATATATATTATGGGACATTCAATGGGTGGATTAATTGTTTCAATTATTGCTCGTCAAAGAAAAGACTTAAAAGGAGTAATTGGGAGTGCACCAGCATATGAAATTAATAATACTATGGTGATGCTATTTTATTTAATAATAGTCGTTGTCTTATATTTTATTCCTAAATTATATTTACCATCACAATATTCTGATAAAGAATTTCCACGTAAAGAAGTTCGTCAAATGTTTGAAGAAGACCAATATGTTACAAAAGGTAAAACTTATCTTAAGACGATTGTTGAAATGACAAAATATGGTGAAAGAGAAAAGTATAGTGATATATTTATACCATTTTTATTAATTCAAGGGACAAATGATGAGTCTGTAACAATGGAAGGGGCTCAAATTAAATCCACTCATTTAAAAAATCAATATAGTCAATTTCTAATTTATAAAGATTGTATTCATTGTCTGTATGAAGAAAAGAACTTAGAAGAACAAGTAATTAATATTATTCATTGGATTCAAAAAGTAAATAACCACAATAACATGAAATAAACTTTTTATTTGATATTATTTATTCTTCATTTTTTTTACCCATTAAATATTCATGCATAGCTTCTACAGCAACATAAGTATCTCCAACAGCATGAACAATTGATTTTGGTCCTGTAACACAATCTCCTGATGCATAAATACCTTCAACATTTGTTTGGAATTTATCATTAACTTGAAGAGTTTGCCATTTAGATAATTCTACATCTTTACAACATTCAGTTTCAACTCCTTGTGAAATGGCTTGAATAACCATATCACAGTCAATAACAAATTCACTGCCTGGAATTGGAACTGGTGCAGCTCTTCCAGATGCATCTGGCTCTCCTAATTTCATTTTAATACATTCAATTCCTTTAACTTTTCCATTCTCATCTCCAATAATTTTAGTTGGATTACATAATGTCATCATAGTAACTCCTTCTTCTTTTGCTTCTTCTACTTCTGATGGTGCAGCTGGCATTTCATTTTCTGATCTTCTATAAACAATAAATGCTTCACTTCCAAGTCTTCTTGCAACTCTAACAGCATCCATAGCAGAAAATCCAGCTCCAACTACTGCAACTTTCTTTCCAATTGTTTTTCTAGCAAAAGTATTAATTGATTCAAGATATGGAATAACATGTTCTACACCAATAAGATCTTCTCCTGGAATACCAAGTACTTTTCTTTTTAATGTTCCAATTCCTACAAAGACTGCATCATATTCTTTCTTTAATGTTGTAATATCATCAACTTTAGCATTTGTTCTAAATTCAATTCCTAATCTTTTAATTCTATCAATATCTTCATCTAATTTATCTCTTGGAAGTCTATATGGTGGAATACATAAAATCATCATTCCTCCTAATTTATGTTTTTGTTCATAAACAACAACTTTATGTCCTTTTAATCTTAAGAAATATGCAGCAGCTAATCCAGCTGGTCCAGATCCAACAACAGCAACTTTTTTACCAGTATCTGGTGCAATGTCTATTTTAATATCTTCTTCTGTTGAATATGTAATGGCTGATCTTTTCAACTCCATAATCTCAAGTTCTCCACCTCTTCTTGCTTTAACACATTTACCTTGACAATAATGTGGACAAACTCTTCCACAAATATTTGGAAATGGTAATCTTTTAAGAATAACACTAACTGCTTCTGTATATTGTTCTTTCTTTAATTCTGAAATAAATCCTGGAATATCAATATGAGCTGGACATGTTGGTACACATCCTGGTTTTTTACATCCAAGACATCTTGATGCTTCTGTTTTAGTATCTTCTTTAGTATATCCAACTACAACTTCTTTCCAATCATTAATTCTTTCTTCTGGATTACGCATAGGAACTGGAGTTCTATTATAATTAGCAGCCATTATGATTGTTTTCAAATGAATAATCTTTAAATTCTGTTTAAATAACCGTTTCATTGTGGAATATTCTTTCTTTTATTGACTCTTATTGACTCTCTCTTATTTTAAATTCTCGGGATATTACGTATTTCTTCTTTTTACACTTCTATTTCTAAATTGTGAACTTTAGTTTGAACTATTTATTTTGGAACTTTCTTTTCCTTTGTTTTTCTTGTGAAAATTATAAAATATTGTGAAAAGTTGTATTTTATGTGGAACTTTATTGAATATATTTATTCCTATAATTTATAATACTTTTTACTATTTTATTCTATATTTCATAAAGGGTTTTCTTCTTTTCTTTTGTTTATTATTTGTAATATATAACATAATTTCTTTTTACTTCGACTTGGAGTTAATTTATCCTTGATGTGTTTTATGGATAGCACATTCCCTAATGTCTCTCTTCTCCATTTGACTGCGTCATTATTCTAAATGACAAAACAAAACTAAAAAATATAAAGTATTTATCACTTAAAAATAATAAACAAATAACAAATATTATTTAAATACTTACTAAAGACAATTGATTTGCTTAAAGAATATACTCTTTAAAGGTGGTACTTTAGACATTTTTAATGTGTAATTTAATAAAATAGTACTAATGAGTACTAATGATATTAATCATTATTAAATATGTTAAACATTATCTTTTCATAAAGGATGTACAAAATGAGTGTTGTAAGAAAGTTATAGTTATACTTATTTGAACTTACTTTAATTACATTAAAAAATCGAATGAGTTTAAGTATTGATGAGTATATTAAAACTTATTGAAATTAATTAGAATGAACTTAACATCATTGTCTTTATTTATCTATTATTTAAAAACATAACACACAGAAGATATTCAAAAAGCAATGATAGTTGAGTTAAATGCATGAATTAACTATTTTAATCTTATTTTAATCTGTTTCTCATGTCAGCATTAGAATAACGTATGTTTAATAAAAAGAAGTGCTACATAAAATATGTATTTTATTTGGTTAATTATTTGGTTAAGCAGAAACACATATTTTAGTTTTGACAAACAGCATTAATTTGTTTTATTAATCCTTTGATAAACAAAATAAAGAAATAACATTTTTTGATAAAAAAATATTTTTTTGAGAAACCATTCATCTCATTCATTCAAAGTAAAAATGATTTAATCATTCTAACTTAAAAATAATATAATCTAATAAAACTTAAATAATGTTATTTTTAGTAATAGTATAATTTATTATTGTTATAAAAAACAAAAAGAACTTATAAAAATATTATTTTATGAAAATTGAAGTGAGAGTTATTGAAGCAAAGGATTTAAGAGTGACTGATTATTTTGCTGGAACAAGTGATCCTTATATCAAATTAAGTATAAATGGACAGATGCATAAAACAAATGTTGTTTATAGAACATGTGATCCTAAGTTTAATCAGTCATTTACGTTTGATATTATTCCAGGACAACAAATAACATTTGAGGTTTTTAGCTTCGATGAATCTGGAAGACATGATCCATTAGGAACTGTTCAACATTCACTTTCATATTTCTATCAAGGACAAGTAAGTGATTTATGGTTACAATTATCTAAGAAAGGTCAAATCCATATTCAGGTATTTTCTCCTGGAGGATTACCTAATGTCCTTTCAGCAGAACAGTTAAATTCTTTGCATCTTGGGATAAATCAAAAACAAATGACAACTCAATCTCCTTTAATTGGATATAAGTATTTTGGTTATACTCCTTCATTCAATGAATTAATGTAATTGTTAATTTCTACTTTTTTACAAGAATTATTATAAAAAACTACAATCACTAGAATCATATAAAGAGTCTCATAAAAGAATAGAATTAATGAAAATATAAGAAATTCATAATAATGTATTGGTATTGATGAAATAAAAATTGAATATTTTATATTTTCTTTTACAAGGTAAAATGAAGAAATGTTCAATGACAGGAGTGTATAGTAAAAAGTATTTTATGAGGAGAAGGTTTATTTAAAAATTAATTGTTTTCTTTATCCTTAATTACTTTTTCAATTTCAACAAAGAGTCATAACACGAAACAAAAAGTAATAGTGAAAGAACAATGATTTCTTTTATATTTTCATTTGAGAATTAACATAATAAAATCATTAATATTATAAAAATTTGATTATATAAAATGTTATTTATTTCAAAATTAATTAATTTATTTTTTTCTCTGTTATACTTTCTTTATTTCAGTTAATTCCGAATCAATTGGTTATTTAGAGTCACAAAACGAGAATTTTTGTATCTCTTTTTCGTTTTGTTTTTATATCTTTTTAATCATTGAAAGAAACTATTTTCCATTTTTATTCTTTGTTTTTTTGTTGATTTAGAAGAGTAATTTACGTTTCTTTTAGTTATTTCATTTGAATGAAATTTCAAAATCCATTGAATTAGAAAAGAACTAAAAAAGAATAAAGAAGTTTCAATATTTTTTCAATCCAAAAAGCTTATTTAAGAAAAAATATTTAAATTCTTTTATTTCCAAAATCTCAAAAAACTTTACAAAAAAACTAAAAATTTAATTTAATAAATTGTTATGAATTTAAGAGGAACAACAGATATACTAAAAGAAAAACATAGTGAAAGAGAAGGGTTAAGACAAAATCGAAGACAAACACTTCTTCAGTCAAAAAGATTACAAAGTGAGCAGATGGTAATTATACCAAAAACAATAGTTTGTAATAACAAAGAAGTATTTAAAATAAAAAAAGAAAAAGTTATTTACAAAGAAATAGGGTAGTAAAGAATTATATCAAAAAATAAATTCACAACCAATTACATTAAGAGAAATGTATAATATTATTTTAACATTAGAAGAAATTATTGAAGCATCATCAGAAGTTGATGAATTTGATATATTTATTAAAGTATTAATAAAATGGATTACAAATTCAGTTTGTGAGTTTTGTTTATTTATTTATAATAAGTTAATATTCATTCAGTTTAGAAAGACATAATGTTAAAATATCATGTTATTACTGTTTTCGTTCTTATTGCTCAAAAAAAACTTGTTCCTCATTTAAAAAATACTACAATGAATATTGCTCAATCTATTATTTCTCAAACAAATCATTCAGATTTACTTGATAGAACATTACGTCTTGTTGGATTTTATTTTGAACGTTCAAATGATATTGAAGACTATAATAAATTTTTAGAAATTATCCATTTAATTGAAAATAAAAAAAGAATTGACAAAAATGTATTAGGAACAGTTTGTTGGGCTTTATTTTTTGTTGTTACTCGTGCTGCAAAACAAAACCCAACATTTCTTCAATCATTTTTTCCTTATATCGCATCAAATTTAGATCCTTCTGATGATAATATTGAAGGTAATAATTGTCTTCTTATTTGTATTTCACAATGCATTGAATATAAGGTTGATTATATTATGCTTTTTGATCAATCTACACACTTTCTTTCAAAATTAGTATTATTTCTTAAGACAGGAGTAGAAAAATTAGTATTACCAGCACTCCATGTTATCGGTCAAATCATTGGATGTTCAGATAATTATACTGAAGTCTTTGTAAATGATGGTTTAATAGATACGTTATTCTCTATCTTCGAATCATTACCACCAGATACAATCTTGTCAGAAGCAATGTGGGTTTTAAGAAATTTATTTATTCCAGAAGGAAATCCACATGCTATTTATCTGATAGAAAAAGGTGTGATTCAGTATCTCATTCGTTACATTTATCGTCAAAATATCCAATTTGCAAGAAATGCTGTTTGGGCATTAACTACTGCTATATTATCGTGTAAATTAAGACAAGATATGTTACAAAAAATGATATCTAATGGAGTTGTTCAACCTATTATTTATGTATTAAAAAATCGTTCATTATTTACATCTGATGATGTTTTGAACTGTATTGACTCAATTTTATGTTTAATGATACAAGATAATGTTTCTCCACAAATAGGATCTCGTAATGCATTTGAAGAATTAAATATTAGTGATATCTTAGAAGAACTAACAGATGATAAAACAATACAAGGATTTACCCGTTTAAAGATTGAATTATTAAAAGGTTATTTTAGTCCAGATAGAATTGAAGAGGAAATGCCACTTTCATTGTAAAAAGACAATAAAACTTAAATATTTATATGTTTGGTTTTTTAATTTTAAATCAATGAATTGAGCTATTAGGTACATTCAATGGAAATGTTGGTAATTATCAATAACACTGTCCAACATGATTTCTGCAGTTTGTTTATCTTCTATTAAAGAAATATCAATCTCATTGATCAAATCAACAGGAATTGCTATTGGAATAGTAATATCATATTGGTTATAAATTTCTAATAACTCATGTCTAATTTGTCTTTCAAACATAATTCTTTCTTCACGTTCTTTAGAAACTCTTGTTTCTTCTGATGTATCTTTTTCAACCACATTTGTTTGTCTTTGAGGAGGTTCTCTGAATTTTACCACAGGAAGACCAAGTTTTTTAAAGACTTCTTGATATGGTACACTTTGGTCAGGAATATTTGGTGGATAAGTTTGTGGTTCTTTCAATACTGGATCTGGAGTCTCAGACGTTTTTGGTTTTAAAGTTTTGGCACGAGAGTTTGGTGTTATTTCAGAAGGTCGTTTAATAGATTTAGGAAATAGGTATTTATTTTCTACAGGTAGTAGAACAATTTTAAATTCATTTTTGAAAGTTTTTCTACAAATTGGACATTTTAGTGTAAGTGAGTTTATATCAAAGTCTTTATGTTGTAATAAACATAGAGTACAAAAATATAATTTTCCAGCACAACAGGTGTTGAATAAATTTAAAGGATAGTCCTTGTTGGCACCAAAACAAACAGCACAAACAGGTTCATTTTCTTTTTCTGGTACAATCATATCATTAAAAATAGGAGACAGCTTCATTTCACGGATATATTTTTCAACTTTGTTTTTGATTGATTTCCAATTTGAAGGAACTTGGTCATTTTCAAGAAAAGGTAGTTTATATTCTTGCAATGACATATGATGAATTTTGTGTTTTTGATTTTAAGATTTTTTAAATTATAATAATGGTTGTTTTATTAATTTGAAAATAAGTTGAATATTATTTTACTTCTTAAAATATTAAAATTAACTAAAAAACATTGTTCTACCTCATAAAAATAATATAAGTCATTTGTTTATATAATAAATTTACCGCTTAATATTTATTGGTTCAATTCAATCTTAACTTAATAAAACCCTATTTTGTTTTTACTATAAAAAAAAATAAAACAAAGTATAACAGTTTCAAATAAAACATCAAGAAAAAATAATAATAAATGAATTGAATAAAAATTGACCAATAAGTAATACCCAAATAATTCAAGAGTTAAAACTTTTTTTCAATATTCGTACGTTTTAAAATAATCGATATAAAACCTGTTTAGCCTAAACATTCAATAATAAAAGTTATTGTTAATATACTGAATATAATAAAGATATACAGTTGAAGAGAATGTAAAAGATTAGAAAAAAAAAACATCAAATAAAAATATATATAAAATTGAAATTGAAAAGAGAAATAATTCCAATATAGAGAAAGATGAATGAAATTATTGTTATTTAAAACTCGAAAAGATTATTTCAAGATCATGGAAATTAGTACAATACTAAAAGATGTAAGTAAAGATATTTCTGATAAGTCAGTTGCTACTGATTGTATGTTTGTTAAGAGATATGATTGTACTTTATTTGGTGAACGAGTTATTGTTGAAGAAATTATAAAAGATGAATGGAATATTAATGATATTCAAAGTATGTTTAAAATACTTTCTATTGTAAGAGAGAAGGGATGTAATCATATTGTACAACCAATGGGATATATTACTAAAGATAAATTATTAAATATTTATGGTATTGTCCATCAAAAATTTGTATGTAATTTAGAAGAATTTTTATTTCAAAGAGAAAAAACATTTTTTAAGAATGTAGTATTAACAGTCTCATTAAAATACAATATTGCTATTCAATGCGCAGAGTCATTATATATCTTTCATAGTCTTGGTTTTACTCACAAAAGAATTGAATTAAAATCATTTTATCTTGATAAAAATATGAATATATTTCTTGGTGATTATTACTTTTCAGCAAATAAAAATTATCCGTTAATGAATGGTCATAATACTGGAAAAGAAGGAGATGTATTTGGGTTGGCATTTATTGTTTATCAATTATTCAATGAAACTCAATGTGATATTAATGCTGTTAATTTACCAATACTTCCAAGACTTTATATGAAACAAGAATTATGTGGTCTTCATGGAGAAGAAAAGAAATTAAAACGTGAAAGAATTGTTAAAGAAGATATTTATGCAAAATTAAGTTGTAATATTTCTCATCAATTAGAAAATTTATTACTCGATACATGGAATTCTTATAATCTTGATAGATTAACAGCAAATGAATTTTTAAATAGAATCAATGATTGTTCTTTAGTAACTGAGTGTGGTGGATTTTGGGAAGCTGACTTTTGGGTATATTGTACTAGAGAAAATGGATGTCTTCCAGAAAAAGTATTGAACTTTGAAAATATGGCATCTAATATAGCAACATCTGTAGATATACCAATATCATTAGTAAATCAATCAGGTATAATATTATCAAAAAATAATGAAATAACATCAGATGCATTTGGATATTTTATTAATAATTTTGGTAAATTTTATGTAGATAATAACATTATGTCTGATCTTATTCAATTTGCAAGTTCTGATTATTATTTTGATATTTCTAAAGACGAAGCACAAACATATTTAAATAATAAAGTAGATCTTACTTTCTTGATTCGACCAAGTAACACAAATCCTAAATTTCCTTTTACCATTTCTAAAAGAGTTAAAAGTAAAACGGTTCATACAAGAATTGAACGTAGAGAAAATTCATTTTATTGTACTATGAGTGGTAAAGAATATAAAGCTAAAAGTATTCCAAGTTTAGTTGATATGTTAAGAAATGATGGGTTAATTAAAGAGTCATGTCCTAAAGAACTTAATGATGATATTTATTAATTATATCATTAGTACAACTATTGAAAAATTCATAGATAATTTTTCAAAGCTTCAACGTTTTAAAAAGAAAGAAGTAATGAAATAATTTAATTATCAAATCAACACTCTATCAAATAACTTTTCTTTACAATACAAAATTCTTGAAAAAGAAGATTTAAAAGAATCTATAATTCTCACATAGAATCAATTGGAGTTTTATAAATAAGTATGTAATTTAATAGAATATTGAGAATAACAAAACTCTTTTAAGAGTTTATCTATAAAGCGATTAAATATTAAAATAAGAAGTTATTTGATTGAAATCTGACATAAAATTGTAATTTTCCCATTGTTCCCAATTAGTAAATTTTAATAAAAAAGAATTAAATTCTTCTGTTAATATTTTATTTATTTTAAATGCTTCTGACTGAAGTTCATTTATTGTTATAATAAAGTATGACTTCCAATCAATCAACTTATATTTTAAATCCCATAAATTCATTACTTTTTTATAAGTCCTTCCAAATTTAAGGGCATTCATTAATTCATCAGTTCTACCATTATATTTTTTATCAATAACTCTTTTTACTTGATTTAATACAATTTCCATTTCTTCTTTACTACATTGACTTGTTGGAATAGGAATAAATTCATTTCCAATTAATTCAATAAAAGAATGTAATATATCTGGATTAGAACTAATTTCATTTAAATTAAATCCCATTATAAATGCTTGGTCTAATAATTCTTTGGTTACTGTTGTTTGAGATGAAGAAAATTGAAGTGATGATTTAATACTTTTACAATTAGTGTTTTGTTCAAATAATGAAGGAAGTGATCCAGTTAATGGTTTTTGCATAAAAGAGTTAGTCAAAGGATGTGTTGAGCTATTAATATTAAGTGGTTGAACTGGAAGTTTTAATTTTTGCTTATCTGAAGAGATAGTTAAAAAATTTGGTAATGATGCAGAGATTGATGGAATTGAAGCTGCAAATCCTCCAGAAGGAATTCCAGACTTTACTGTTGAATAAGACGTTTTTAATGACAAAAATCCATTTGTACAACTTTTATATAAAGTATTTTTAGAAGAATTTTTTAATGGAGGGTTTGGAATACGATCTATAAGGGATAATGGAGATGGTTGTTTTAATGAAAGTTCTTTTTGTATTTGTTTTTTAGTGTTATGAGTTGGTAGAATTGGAGATGCTACTAGGTATTGACCTGTTAATTTTAAATCATTCATTCGAAGAAGAATTGTATTAAAGTCTGTTATAAGAGAACTTTCTACCCATTCAATTACTTTATTTTGCATTAAAACTTGAACGACACATTTGGTCTTATGAACTAACCCAATCCTAATAATTTTAATAAAAACATTTTCTAAAGATCCTTCAATCATACTGTCTTCATCTTTTGCTTGATGAGTGATAACAATAATTTGTTCTTTTCTCTTTTTTAATGGAATAATTTTATAAATTATACCTTCATTTAGTACAATCCGGGGTGATATGAAGACGTTTTTGTTCATACTATGAATCTAGTGCCTTGAGAACTTCACATTTTTCTTATGAGGAATAAATCCGTTTTACTTTTTGAAAAAGAATATTCGTTTTTTATTAACCAAAACTAAAAAAAAAAAATAATTGAAAAAACAAAAAATATGGAAGTTATGTTTTACATTTGGACACTACTTAAATGATTTTCTATGATATTAATAATTTCGTTTAAGTCTTCAAAGTCATTTCTTGATGCAATTCGTATTAACGAAGAAACTAATCCATTTCCTTTTGTTTGCGCTATATCATAAGCTGTTTCATTTTTCTTATTTGTTATTGTATAATCACATTTAAATCTTACAAGAACAACAGCAATTTCTATAATATCTTCTTTTGCAGTAAGATGTAATGCAGTATTACCTTCTTCATCCACTTCATTAAGGTTATATCCATTTACTATTAAATAACAAGCAATACTAATTCTTTTCTTTTTAATAGCATTTAGTAATAATTTACTTCCATACAAATCACTAATAACAACATGTGCCAATGCACGAACAATATCTTCAATTGAGTTATTTTCTATTCCATTCAAACATACTTCAATCCAATTTTCATCACTTGGAACAACAAATTGTTTTCTAATATATTTTCTTTTAATAATACATGCTCGTTCCTCAAGAGAAGAGTCTGGTGAAATCATATAATGTTGTTGATAAATTTTATTAACCTTTTCATTTCCTAATGCATCTAATATTCTTACAACATAGTCTTCAATATTATCCAATGTTGTACTCTTAACTCTACTATATGCCACTCCTAAACTACGATGAATTGCACTACATTTAATACAAAAAATTATCCCAAGGTTTACTGAGACCCATTGTGGATTTTCACATCCACATTCAGCACAATATTTATTTTCTTGTCGTTTCAATATTTTAGATAATAAAGGATGTACTATTCTATGAGATAGAGTTGTTCCATTTAATACATTTTCTTTTTGTTTTTCGATTAATTCTTGCCATTCTAAAGCTTCTTCTTTTGAAGGTGTAAATAAAATAAATTTACCATTTATTCCATTACATTCTAATGTATTTTCATTTGCCTTAAAATTAGTAGTAATGATATTAATTTTATCTTTTTCTTCTACCTGACCATTATGACGAATTAGTCCAATAAGAAAGTCTTTATTAAAGAGATAATATAATTTTTTATCATGAATAGATTGTTCTTTTCTAAAAAGAAATGTTCCAAAAGATTGTGGATTAGGAATAGTATCTTTGACATTATTCATATTTAATCTAAAAGTATTTGTTTGCATAATTAAAGAATTAACTTTTGGTGTTTGAGTTTCTTCATTAAAATGACGTTTAGCAGTATTAGTAATATATTTTGAATATACATTAAATAAATGAATAACATTTTCTTCTGTCATAAGAGTCATTTGCTGAATTTGATTATTAAGTTCAATTCCCATTGTGATAATAGAATTTTG